TGTGCTGGTAAAGATTCTCAGTCATCCAGGTCATAGTCATTCCAAAAAAAAAAACCAAAACAATGGAGAGTGGTTTGGGTTCTTTGTTGGCCTGCACAACCTGATACTGGTCTATGGCTAACAAAGAACCCAAGCAACTCCCTATTCCTAAGAGGCGGACCTTTTCTTCCGGTTCAATTTGCATGTTTTCTAAGCAAAACAAGGCATTATTTTGGTCCACTCCATAAAGCCTTTGGACTCAACAGTAATTCTGACATTTTGAATAGAAAAAGCTTTCTGGATGGGAAATGAAACGTCTTCAAACTCGGAAACAAAGTCCATTGTATTGTGTTTTAATAGTTAGATGATTTTAAGTGCATTAAAAATCCCAACTGATTAAATGATCCTGCGTACAACACTGAATCAGCAAGACATTCTTCAGTGAACCCCTTTCTGACTAATTAAGCTACACTCTGACAATAGGTTAAAAACATTGACTTAACCTAACCTTGTTGGAATTGTGGAACATTGGTTTGTGCAAGACATGAGCTGCCGTAGGGCTGGTTGATATGGCCAAAATCTAAAGTATAGTTTTTAACTGGAATCAATATAATTCCAATATTAACATAAACAATATCAGGCCTCAAATAAAACAACCAAGAAGGCCCAAAACAGATCCCTGTACAAACACCTGACAATTATTTTTGCCAAATCTATGCGACTCCGTCAAATTAAACATTTCAGGAATAGTAACTTTTAAAAAAAGAATTAAATTTGACAATTTTATTTGGAGCTACTATCTGAAGAGCAGAAGGATACTTTTAACCTGGTAATTATCTTTCCCTCTTAATATTTCTCAGGTTATGAGTTCTAGCATCGTTCATAGTTTTTATCGTTACAACTCGCTTTAAAAAAAATGGCAAAACTATTCAAAACTTGCTCCAAAATCCTAACTTAAAAGGAATAGTGGTGGAGGTTTTTTTTCTGGGTGGATCATCAAACTAAATGGTCTACTAATTGTCAATCATTCTGGTGATATGTTTACGTAAGTCCGTCCTACGTTCTCGTCCCCATTTTCATTTACTGGTGGTGAGTCTGACATAGTGGGAAAAATGGCACATCATCTTTTGGAAAGTGAGCTTGTATGAGCGATGCAAACAGCAACTTTTAAACAGAGCGTGCACCAGGAGAAATGGGCTTGTTTACGCTCTCGCACCCGTTTAATAGACGTTACCTCTCAGGAGTGGGTACAGGGTTGTGCATCTGCATTTTCTTTTTTTTTTTTTTAAATGGTCTTTTCAAAAATTTGCGAAAACTGCTCCACTATACCTTTGTTTTCAGGCCATACTAACATATCTTAGTATGGATGAACCCTTGATGAAATTGTGGGGCAGTTTTTTTTTTTTTTTTTTATTTAGTTTTTTTTTTCAGTCATTTATTTTCTCCCCTTCTTTTACTTGTGCTACAAATACCCTGTGATCTAGCCTTGCCTTTGGTTATCCTTCTCTCATTAATACTTGCCTTATTTTACATTTCTTTTCTTGAGCAAAGTCAAAAGACCCCAGCCCTGTTTTTGGTTTATCTGCTTCGAACCCAGTGCAACCTGACAACAGTAGTTATGTTCCCCAGCATGAACCAAACATTTATCACAGCAAGGATTAGCCCAGTCAAAATAAAATTACCGGTATACAAATCACTCTTACCATATCACTGGACGGCTTGCTGGTGACAAGCTGTTGCTCTGCTCTTTTATGTCTACTTTATTTTAAGCTCTTCTTCTTCTGCTCTGACTGTAACATTAACAGCAGAGTGACCAGTTGTTTTGACCAAGATGCTTTCTACATGGTGTAAAACGGTCTATGCAATCTCGGACATTTCTAAAGAAAGCTTTTTTGGGGGACAGATACAAAACAGGCAATTGGTCACTTTATCACAGGCACTCCTTTTCTAGCTTAAATTTGCTAGGTAGGGGCTTAGCTGAGATTAGCCTACTAGCACTGAGCATACTGTGGTATACATCATCGCTCACCGTGTGTTAAGGCTTGAATTGACTGCTCTGAATGTCAGTCAGCAACAAATGCTGTAATCATACACTACTGTAAATGGAAATAAAGAAAATGTGTTTAAATGTCACATAAATTAAACTGACTTATAGATTGATGGTGAATTATCTTCCAGCCCTGAGCTGCTCCCATCTTTGGTGCTGGGAAGGGAGGCTTTTTATTTCCCCACTTGAATTTGTTTCATCTGCAAACTGAGAGAGCTCTGACCACTGCCTGCTGCTTATCACACACCAACTACTCATCCAGTAAATACTTCCACCACCCGTAAAAAAAAAAAAAAAATGAAACCTGGCAAGTGTCACACGCAAGAGAAAGGCTTTTATTTTCTTTACTTCTGAAGCATGAAATTAAATGTTTAATAGTTATGTAATGGGTTCCAAATAAACTAAAAAATTTTGACAAAAACCAGGTGCTCTTCTTTGCCTCCCTTCTTGGCTTAATGCTCGGCTAATCTTTTTGCTTGCTTTTCTATAACTTCCTCTACAGCGAGCCGATACAGAAAGGTACCAGTCTAAGTCCCCATTCACAAGAAGATTAGCATATTTCCAAAAATGACAAATTATTCTTCTCAATTGAACTCGGGTAAAATCTCCTTATTCATTTTCAAGTCCAATCAGAGTCTCGCAAATCCATCTTGGGCTTTGATCTGGTGATGAACAAAGTCTTTTTGTCCGCAGCTACAAAAGAAGGTCGTCCATCAGTAAGATATGATTAAAACCTCAAGGTGGAAAGCTGTAGATTGGTACAAGAAAAAGTTCACATATGCTGGTTTTGTAGCAGTTAGATGGCTTCTATAATTAGAACAGGCTTGGCTGTATGCTTTTTACTAAAAAAGTGGAGTAAATGACAATGAGATTTTAATATATGAATTTAGTCATAGCAAACATCTAATCGGGATTCTCTTTGGGAGAGGGCAGTTTTTTTTTAAGTCACAAACCTTATACTGTTTTTTTTCTTTTTAAATCAACTCTTTTTTTTTCCAACTAAGATGACGTAGAAAAAAAGTAATTCAGTAGGTTTACCCTTTCAGGTTATATATTTTCCTGCATCTTCCAGCTTGTTTTCTCATTTGAAATCCTGATGACTGCAAATCCTCTCCTAATACATCTCCAATATTTTGAGTACCTGTATGTCCCCCCTTTCATACAGTGTTTGTCACTGGTGCTATTATTGGTTTTAGGTTTTAAAGGTAAGCAAATATACAAGCCACCCCATAAATTAATTGATATTTGACTTCTTTTTATTAACTCACAGAAACCTTAAACTAAGTAAAGATGGTGGGGAAGCCTTTGAACTTTTCCACTGCTAAACATAATTATCTGTGTTTCTCAAACAGCTCCGGCCTTTACTGTGTTCGGTCAGTCTTAGGTTTGATGGACATTATTATAGTATTCTACCCAATTGCTCCTAATTAACTTTCAAGATGAATCTACAAAGTTTAATAATCTCTTTAGAGTGATTGTATGTCTTTGTAATATAAATATGAGGGCTCCTTGTCATTTTAATTGACGCCAATGTCACTTTCTCATGTTGCATCAGTCTTTCTTCTTATTGAGAGAGATTTCAGAGTGATGTCTTTACTGTTAGGGTTCATTTTGTTGAGTGGGACCTGCAACCTGACCCCACCTTCTCCCAGACTCTTGCAATGGGCTGCTAAACCAATACGAAGCAGTATCTGAGACATTTCTCCTTTAATGTCCTACAGAACAAAGTCCAAATGAAAAGATGTCCATAAAATGGGAAATTTTCTGCACATAAAACATGACCATGTAGGTCTAATAAAACTTAGTCCCTCTTACTTTAATTTTTTCACAGTGCTGTCTCTGTTTAAACTGCACTTCAATGGCTGTTTTGGGAAGAAACAGAAAAATTTAATTATATATATATTTTTAAGAAGTGTTCTATGGTTTAATTACAACATGAATTCAAGCCTTGTGATGCTGCCGAAGTTTTAAAATGTATATAATGTAAAATCTGCTGTTTTTAAACCACAGTTCCGTTCATTATTCAGTATCCTCAAATGCACATAGTAGCAGCAAACATCTGCATGGATCTATACAGTATGCTCACACTTCTTTCTATTCTCTGTTTCATACAGCCGGTCTTCTACAGATTATTTTAGTTATCCTCCCACATGTCAACTTTCACTCCTGCACATGTTACATCATACCCCCTGGCACATTTCTTTATTTATTAACTCACAGTTGACTGGCAAAAGCAAACTTTTACACTCCTCTGAACTTTTCTTTTTAAATCAAAAGATGATCTACATTTGGAAATCTTGCTAAACCTATTTAGAGGGATTTTTGCTTTTCCTTTGTAATAGTTTAGCTAATATTCTGCATACTAACAGGGAGCAGAAGACATGGTGGGAATCTTTAAAGGCTTGCAAACATCCAAGCTGTGAATGTCAGCAGCTGGGTTGGCCTGGGCCGTGATTGGCTGAAAGATGGCGGCTTTCAGAGGCAAGCTGGTGAAGGCAGTCAAAGTTGCACACCACTGCAGGGATTTTTTGTCACAGGGAGGCTGAGGTATCCTGGGGTGCTGAGAGAGATTTCTCTGGATGTCATGGAGGGCCTGCTTAAGAACCGTTTCCCGCCTCTGATTTTCCTTGACATTTTACAGCACATGCATACACATAAGACGACTCGCACATCGTAGTCTTTTCCTCACCCATTTGTCAGTACGACAGAAGATAAACGATCCTTCCAAATCCATACAAACCTTGTTCTTCTCATTTTCTGCTACTGTAAGCCCCAACTGCATTACAACCAAAACCCTGCAGAAACTCATAGGAATATTTATTAACTCACCATACTCTCTTACCTACATACTAACCAGCCATTGTGATAAAAACTGATTTGCAGCACTCCTTAGCTGCATTTGGAAGACAGACCTTTGCAAATCACTGCCACCTCAGCTCAGCATTAATGTAAATTTATTTCTCTGTTTTGACAGAAACCTTGGAAAGTCTGGCCTGCGCGTCTCCTGCCTTGGATTAGGTGAGATCACTGAAAAAAAATCCGAATTTGTGGACATGGTAAATAACCCTGTCTATCTTTTGACAAAGAGAAAGGCGTCACTGCTACTCCAGAAAGTGAAAAAAAATTTCTTTTGCTTTGAGTCTTTCCAGGTTTAAGTCCTTTCCTGAGAGTTTATATTAGCATATACCTTTTAAATGAATTCTTAGAATGTTTATTTTAGCTTAAGTAAATCTAGAGTAATGTTTCTGGGGAAAATTAACTATTAATTATTCAGGAGCATTTAACAGTGTAAGTAAGAAAATGCAAAAAAAATAAAATAATTTAAATAATTATCATGGCGATGGAAGATGATGCCTGGTTAAGAAGTATGCCTTATTTTCAAGGAGTTGGCAACCCTAAAATCACTGTACTGTAACATTTCAAAATTAAAAGTGTAAAGTTAATTTATGACATTAATTTATCTTTTAAAGTGTAATACATCTTTTTTTTAATGCTGCTCCTTTTTATTCAGTTACTGAATTTACTTTAAGGAGTCCTACCTGGAATGTTACTTAAACAATCCATCTGATATTAGCTTTAAATTAATGTTTAATCAACGGTAGGAGAAAAACAATTGAACAGAGCTCATTATGTCCCGTTTTACATCCCTTTTTTATCTCTTTTGAGAGTACTGTACATGAAAATTTTTGGTTGTGATTACGTGCGTTTATGTGGTTATAGCATTAGCGACATTAGCAGTCTGCCATGGTTCATTTACCATAATTTCCTCTCTTTTACAATACGTAAAAAAATTACACAATCACATTTAACCAACCGCCTGCTGGTGAGTTCCTCAATTGAATTCCCCCTTTTGGGAATGCTAATATTAGCAAGCTTCCATTACTGATGTCAAAACAGGTGCAGGGTCAGAACTGCGCATTGTAGAGAACGCGCTCTTGTGGGCATTTCTAATTTGCCGAAATAATCCAAATGAATCAAACCAAGCAAATCTTTTACTTTTCTAATAATTTCCTGGAGAGTTTTAAATTGTGCCCAAAGCTGACACACACCATTTAACATGAAATAGACACATTGCCAGGTGATGACTCTTTTATTTAATATTTTCAGATATTGTAATGTATTGAAAAGCAACACCTGCTTGTCTGACTGCTGCTTTTAAAACAAAAATGTACTCACAGTGTTACCTATTTGGGCTAGAACCTGTTTCTTGCAGGTGATGTGCTGTTTTAGAACATATGGCTTTTCTCCTCACCCATTTCTTTGTGTGTGTGTTTGCCTCCCTGTTATCCTCTGCAGGAACATGGGTGACATTCGGTGGGCAGATAACGGATGAGGTGAGAGCAGATGGATCCTCTATTAGTCAAATCTTGATATTAAAAACATTCACAGAGAAGTTCTTTCCCAGAATGTTCAACAAATCAAGTTTAGTTACTTTTTCAGTAGATCTATCACTACAAAGTGTCAACAGCATAATAACACACGTTATTAAAAGATACTGTTACTATCTTTATTTTTGTGAAAGCAGATGAATAATTAAGAGGCTATAATGCTTTGCATCAGCCCCCCCACCCCCGTCTGTTTCTTACCCCTTGTTTTCTCAACAGATGGCAGAGCAGCTGATGACTCTGGCCTATGAAAACGGCATCAATCTGTTTGACACAGCGGAGGTCTACGCTGCTGGAAAGTGAGTGTATCCTGTATCGCTGTGACGACGAACCTTAACAAGCTGCTGGTTAATGATAGGTTGGGAGTCCACCCAGTGCAGAGAAATGATGCACCTAATCTGTGGAGCACTAATAAAAATCCATATTGGTGATTGCATGAACAGTCTGTACCGTTCTCTGTTGTGCATAAATATCTGGTCAGCCTGCAGAAAAGATGCACTGATTACTGGTCAAAGCTGGCAGTCCAGACCCTCTCTTCTTGCTTCTTTAAGTAATCAGTTACTTCCTGACTTCTTGTTTAAATAAATATGCTCCTTTTTTGGAAAAGAACAGGAACAAAAAAAAAGTAAGGTGTCATTTTACCAAATTTAATTGTTCCATATGAGCTTTTTTAAATCATTTAATCTTTGACAGATACCTAGCCTCCACCTGGAAATTACTTCTGAAGAACTAGTCAGATTCTTTATTCCAGAAAACCTTTTGTTTCTCTTTAAAAAAATGTTTTATTTTGACTCAATCAAGCATCAAAATCATAACTGTAGAGTGATAGAATGGTAAAAATGCTGAAAGCTGCACAATAAACCTCTATTTTTAGAGAAAAAAAAATAGCCTATTACCATAGGATCTATATAATAAAATTTAGTCTGTCATTATTTGAACTAATCTTGGAATATGACCATCATTGTCTTCATAAAACATAGCCCCAACTTTGGATTAAAAGCATAACTAAACCATTTATTTTAAGTTTCCTATTCATTCTGGGATATTTCTAGAACTGGACATACATCATTTGATTGTGGAGAGATCTGCGATTTTGGGATGAATTGTGCTTAATGTATTAAATCAACTCAAAGGAATGCAGAACTGTGAAGTGGGAGGATGTTAAACAAGTTTTTTTTATATAGGTAACTAGTCTCCCTGAATTAGCATATGGTTCATCCACCTATTGCTACAATTAAATCTGTAAAACCATTATTTAAATGACCAGTTGTTGATTGGGTTTGCTAGGTTGCCATGCAGTTTGCATATACAGATGGTAGATTGATCAATGCTCTGTGAAGTGTTCAGGGCTTTTAATACTGTTTCATGTTTTAACCCCAGAAAGGAACCTCCTGCTTATCAGGTCTGATAATTGCGTTTTTTTTTCCCCCATTGTGGACTAATCTGCTTTTTACAATGACTTGGAGGCTTTGAAATAATCTATGGGATTATCCTTTGTGAAACCGTATATCTGATTAACTACAACATTTCTGTTTTAATCTGCTGAGAATATTTGACTCTATGACTTTTGTTTTCAAAGATGCAGAGGTACATTTCTCCAATGTGAGATCAATAAAGTTCAATTATTATTATTATCATCCACGAGTATTCAGTGCTGTTTACTGCATAATTAGTAGAATAACTTTTGTCTTCAGTTAAAACAAAGTTGTTTTGGGGTATGCCTCTTCAAACTTTGCATATAGATTTTAATTTCGCCCATTATACTTTACAAAATAACTCATTTTAATCAGATTGCTTTCAGTCACTTTCAAACAATGACACAGATTATAAACTACTGTAGATTTAGTTCATGCTCTGATCTCATCTAACCAATTAGACTGTCTCTGGAGAACAGCTGTATCTTCCCCACATAATGCTGCCAACACCAGTTTTTACCCTCCTGAGGGGAGCTAAATGCAGATCCAAATATATCTCAGTTTTATTTGAAAACAAATGCTCACAGTATTTCTGGTTATTCTCTTAGATGATAATCAGAAATACTGTAGTTATAGACGGAGAAACTGGGTTAAGGCAGTATTAATATGTAAATATTTCTTGACTAATTTCTCTGCATCAATATATAGACCACCATTTTGCAGAAGACTGAGATAAACATGCTCAACTAAACATTTGCTGTTTATTCCTCATTATTGCCTCTGTTATCAGCAACCGCACACATGGTCTCAGTATTTAAAATTCTGAAAGAAATGTTCAGAGCAGCATTCTGGTTTCTTTCATGCTGAATGCACAGAAAATGGCTGATGTGCAAAAAAAAATGGCGACAAATCGGCTGCCCAATTACGGTGAAACCTGAAAGTAATACAATCTTTTTCATCCACGAACCATGCAGCATTATATCACAGATCCTTCTGTCGGTCAAAGCTTCGATTCAGCACCATATAGACCTAATTTATGGCTAAAAGGAAAGCCAGCACGCTCCAGGCAGACTGTACCGTACATTTGGACAGTCAAATTACTCACTTTACACAAGGGCAGCCCTACAGCTATGTGGGTGAGACACACACACACACACAAACCTACTGTAAACTCACACTAAGAATATTCCTGCATTGTTGCTAAAAAAATGTCAGTTCAGCTGGCTGGATGTGAGGCAGCAGTGCAGCTAAAGTAGAGGTTAAAGCAGAGGCTAAAATCATGTTTTAATTGACTGAAAGAATCCAGCAAACCACTAGACAAGAAAAAAACAGTGTTTTGGGGGGACATCTAAATATTTTACTGCCCTGATCTTAAATAAGTTACTGAAAAACACGTAATTGTGTGAATAATGAAAACAACTCAAAGAGGGGAACAGTAGAAGGAAAGCACTCAGGTGAACAAGAAAATAATTATTTTCAGTTCATTACAAGATTCACTGACTTCCATTCAGGATGTTCTCATTTTTTACTTTGCCATAATTATGTTAAAAATAATTTATTTATTGACAACCTTCTGGGAAATCTAGGGAACAAACACATCCACATGGATAAAACCCTTCAAGTGATATCAGTAAAATCAGCAGTCTCATACATAAGGAAGCATATGGTGACGATTTACACTTCACATCTATCAAACTACTCTGCTAACTGCTCTCAGCGGAGAATAAAGGTAATGATTCTGAAAGTTAGCACAGGATAGTATAGAAGGAAAATTTCTATACCAAACTGGGAAATAAAATATTTAAAGCAGAGAGTAGGAATGGGAGACTTTTTTATAGAGCTTTTTTTTTTAATGAAAGATGTATATCTGATAGCTATTGGTTCTTTTTAATCTAATTTAATAACATCTCTGCCGCTTAGCCTTATATTAGAAATAAAATTCTACCAAAACAAACAACAGCTTCCAGATGTACCAGACTCACGGAAAACAACAAACACTAAAACCTGGGCCAAATAATTGTCTAAACACCAAACAGCATCAGGGGTGCTTAATACCTGGGGACATAAAGCCTTTTAATTTGTTAACCAATTTGAATCTGTTGATTGATGTTTCTTTGAATTGGATAAAACTGAGCTCTGATTACTAATCTTTCCCTTTTTGTGTTTGAGAACAAAATTTCGCATCATTTTGTAGTTTTCATTCAATAGCTATCAGAGCTCTTTAAATTAACTTTTTATTTCATAAATGTTATCCAGTCAATCATAGGACATCATACTAGGCTGGTTCTTGCACGATTGCTTCACATTTTTTATTCCCTCAGCAACAAGAGCAACACACAGTCATATACATTTGTAGCCTAGTAAACTAGCCACAGCGGCCAAAATCATTTTTGCCTGCGAGTTTGACCTAGCCTCGATCAATGCCCGAGGCTCTAGAACTGGTGGGCCAATCACTACGCAGAGATGTCTTTTGAATTTTTGGACACAAAACGAGGGCTGGACGACAAAGCTGCTTGACGCTGGCACAATAAGGAAGATGGCAACAACTATTGAACAGTTCTCGTTTGACTCAGCTTTGGAATCAATTTTGGAAGGATTAAGCTTGGGGTTTTCGGTGAAATGTGAGCAGGAAGAGGCTCTACGCTCACTCATTTTTAAGAAGGACGTATTCGCCGTTTTACCGACAGGCTGTTTGTTTACACTCGCCCACCAGCTTTCTGTCGGGCTTAATACGTTACAGTAAGTGGCGCTCATTGGTCAGAGCGTTGACCAATAGGCACAGACATGGTTTGAAAAACAACGGGTTGTTCTCATCAACAATCTTCAAATGTCTCATTCATCGGGGCCAGACTAAATTACACATTTAATCTCACATTTAGTCTGGTTTATCTGGTTAACTGATTTGCAGATTTGTAAGAAATGTGGGGTTAATATAATTGCCTGATGGTTAAAAAAAAGTTATTCACAAAGCATCTTAAGCCTTATGCTTATGTTGATGCTGAAAAGAGGTCTTTTAGTGAGTTCTAAGCAGAAAAAAATATGGAAAAAGAGCATAGAGATAGAGCAACCCACTTATAGTAGTAATTATATTAAAATTTTAAAACGACAAAAAAAAAGATTGTATTTAGCAAAAAATGAAAAACATTTCCGTCTGTCAATATGCTCTACCCAGAACTCCTCCAGTGGAAGAGTTTTATTTTCCCATGGTTTAATTCTATTATTAAAAAAATGTCTTTGAAGAACCTTTTGTTATCAGATTATTAATTGATTAATCTAAAAAAAATTATCAACAGATATGGATTAGCAAAATAAAAATTGGTTGCAGCCCTAGAGTATCCTCAGGCTCTTATGTGTGCCATAATCTCCTCCGAGTTTGGATTGCAGAACATGGCAGTGCTTCTCACCTTCCAGGCTAGTGTGTGAAAACGGAGCAATCAATGCATTGATCTGCTCGGCAATGAGCTTCCAAGTCTGCCTCTTAGAGCTCGCCATGATCCCTGGATCAAATGTAGCCTGAAACACTTCTAGATATTCCACCATCTAATCATAGGTCCAGTTCGGTTTTCTCCTATTTTATGCATGTTATGATCTTTTGTCCAAAACAAACTGCTTTTTGTTTATAAACAATTGGTTCACAATAAAAAGCTGACTCTTAGTCTTATTTCTTTATTAACAACTTTTATATTCAGGGGTGTTGCTGGCAGGGTCACCTAGTGGTGCTTTGAAATGTTGCTTTCACCGATTCTAAGATCTACTATAAACCCTCTGATTTCGAGCCAACTGATTTCTTGGGGATCTAATGTAACTTTTTCTCTACTTACAAAATATTCATAGATTAATAAGTAGAAGGTCAATTATCTACTGTAGTAATTAGTCGTATCTTAAGGATCGTCCTAAGATATTGCTCCTCATTGCTCCTTGTGTTCCTCATCATTGTTCTCATTTTAATAAATTATTTAGCTCCAGCTAGAATGTTTCTGAAATGAAATCCCAAATGCTACATAGATTAATTCAAACATATATTTTTGTGTCTGCCCAACAAGAGGATTTACATTTGAACTAAAAGTGAGCAACAACATGATATTTAGGATTTCCCATCTTTTTCTCTTGTTTGTTTTTTTTTTTGCTGTTGTTTTTTTTTTACAAAAGGATTTTTAAACATTTGGGTCATCATTTATAAAAACAGTCAAGGGTCTGTATTTACAGAGTGCCTTTTTTTAGTTAGGGGACTCCAAAGCTCTTTACATTACGTTCAGTTTTTCACCCATTCACGGAAACCTTCACGTTGCCGTACACAGGCGACACCGGGCCCTCTGATCTGACCACTGTCAGTCCTTCCACCATCACTCCATTATCCTACCAAAGAAGTGATGCAAATATATCCCTATTTTACTTTTATGATTGACAGACGTCTAAAGTTTTGTCTTGAACTGTCCTCGTCTGATTCTCAGAGTATCCTTTTGCTCAAAGTCTTTGATTCCAGCTTGCAGCCTGGTGTTTAGCTCTACAGATACTGGTTCCTGACACTAAAATAAAAGCAAAAAGACAAAACTCCTTCCTCTCTGTTCATGGCCTCAGTGTCTGAAAGACTTTCATTGAGCAACCGGGTGTCATCTCATTGTTTGTCAGAGCAAGAGAACCACAGAGACACAAACAGCTTTCTGGCCAGTCCTAATGAGCCCCATGTTGATAGTAATATCGCTCATTAGCACCCCTTCAGCTTTTAATGAGACACCTAGCGGTGTCTCAGGACCCGCTGACTCTGACCGGCCCTCTGATTCACACCATCAGATCCTTAACAGGTGCTCCTTAGAGTGTGGGGTGTGCACTCAGCGCTTCAATTTAATCCAGAAATCCAACCTTAACCCTCACATCTTCTTAGCGCTATCTTAATTTAATCTCTGCTTCGTTTTGTTTGCTTTGCAGGGCAGAGGTGGTGCTCGGGAACATCATAAAGAAGAAAGGATGGAGGTATGGTCTCTCTGTAATCCAGCCTGATGCTTTTAAATTTCCGTTGCAGCAACAGAGCTCGCCTGATGTATCTTTTATCAACCCTCATCTCTAACCTGATAGTAGGCTTTGTAATATGTGTTGTGAAGCAGAACAGTAAGGTCCCAGTCCACCAAACACTAAACTAAAGGAGGCCTTTACTCCAGTGTTCCTTCTCAACGAGGCTGAATAATGGATGAACTTCTTGTTGATCTGTGATTAGCTTTTGTAGTTGATTTCAGATCAAGGTCTAAACTTGCACCAGAACACGTCAGTATCGCACATTAAATAGTAAAGTTTGAATTCATTATTCCCCTACAGATGTGTGTAAGTTACCCGTTATAGTATGTGCTGGAAAACAAGACCAGACTCTTGTGCAAGATGCAGAAATCACTTGTCTCCTCTGCATTAGTTTGAGGTTTTCAGTGACTCAGCGGGTTCATGTGGCAGCTGTTTTAACAGATGTGCTGTCATCTTCTGTTTTAGACGCTCCAGTCTGGTGATAACCACAAAGATTTTCTGGGGCGGCAAGTAAGTTTTTATCCTGATGCCAAATGAAAAACTATCCCCTTGTGTAATTTCTCCTGCCCCATCTGATGCCGATGCCCCCGCCGGTAATGGGATCATATGTCAACTGTTGTCAGGTTCTTCTAAGTGAAGCTGAAAACATCTCATGTTTCACGGATGATCAGATGATGTTCTCTCTGCACTAGGCATACTAAGAAAAATATTTAAATGTCATTGTATTAAAAAACAAATGAAATAAATAACTTAAATTTTGCTGAATACTTTTATTTAATATTTTTAGTTTTCCTTGTGTCTACCTCTCTTTCTACCAAAAGTCTGACGGATAAAAATAGGTTTTGCTCTGGTACATCAGTCTCCACTCACCCCTTCCCTTATCGTTTCCTTAGTGTATTAAGTGTAGCAAGAGACCTTCAAGATTGAGGAGTAGCGAGCCTCAGAAATGCTGGTTAACACAGCAGCTGCAGTGTAGCAACACTTTGGATTGAAACAGAATGACAATATTATTGTGTATAGCAAATATTCTGGGACAGCATTTGTTATCCTGACAGGTCTATCGAGGGAGGGGTGGGGCTTAAAGCCATAACTTAGACCTGGTTCATTCTGAAAATGGCTAGTTGGAAGAAAGCAGCTTAATAACTTTTAATAACTCATAGTCTGCTTCCTGTTTTACAGAGCAGAGACTGAAAGAGGTTTATCTCGAAAACACATTATAGAAGGTAAGTATTGTTGCAACATGTTACTGGATTAAGTGAAAACTTCCCACTTATTAACTGCAGGTTAATATCTTCAGTATATTTGCTAATAAGGTTGGATGTTATAGGTGTGGAAACATGTTCATTTACTGTGGAGTTTCTTTTCAGGTTTAAAGGCTTCTTTAGAAAGACTGCAGTTAGACTACGTGGATGTAGTCTTCGCCAATAGACCCGACCCGAACACACCAATGGAAGGTAATTCTGTTTGTCCCACTGGATATTTCCACCTTGTTTTTGTTTTCCTTTTGTTTAGAAATGTTTCTATGAAAAAAAACCTCCTATTCGTCTCTATGACTACTGCAATGCGAAGACTTGGATGTACTATCCTTCTGTAACTGAAACGTCTATTTTTATACGCCTCCTGTGGTCCGGGTGCTTCCACCTCCACAGTGGGAATGATGATAGATGCTGATGCTGGAGACCTTTAAATGGCAGCATTTCTAACTGTGTGTGGGCTCAGCTGGACGCTCAGTGTCCATCTGTTGCAGCGGTAGAACTTCCTCTCACGGTTAAAGTTGAGCCTAAGGTCACGTTTCTGCCTTTAGTTTGTCGCTTCACTGGACTCGTTCATTAAAAATTATCTCACATTTCTGAAAAATGCTATTTTTTATTTGTTACCACCATTTAACTTAGTGGTTAAACCATTCATTTTGTTCCTAACTGAGGGGGTAAACAGAGTCAAAAAGATATTTAACTGCTCCTCTTTCACCTCAGAAAAAATACCTCTTAAGCCAAGAATCCACAGAATGATAAGAAGGAGCGATTTTTTTCCAGAAGCAGGGCATCCGTAAAGTTAATAGATGGTTGCAGGATTACTGAGGGGTTGATGCAATCTTATTTTATTACATTCCTGTGCTTCTGCTCTTGTCTGGGAAGCCCGATCGTTATCTAACCCGTTTCATGTTTTGCTCCGCTGCCTCACACACAAAACAAACTGTCACTCCAGCCAATGAAAAGACAGAAATTAAAGCCAGGCGAAAGGGAGACTTCATTTGGCACGTGCCAGATTTGTCTCCAAATCGAAATCCCTTCTTTAAATAAGATATACTAATCTGAAGCTACAATGCTTTGAGATGAATCTCTTTAATATTCAACATGTCTATTAGAGGGAAGGAAAGTAATCATCCATGACGTATTTTTAACCCCCTCTGCTTAAGATACATAAGCTGCCATCCTGTGTGTCAACCCACTTTGTGTGCGATTAAAAATCTGAACTGCCGCACATATGGCTGTCATCTCTTATTCATCTCACTTGGCTCCTGTTTCATGTTGCATGCTTCAAATTTAAAGCAGATCCTTGTAAATATTAGCCTGAGTATCATTCAAGTCTTGCCTTGTTGAGAGCAGATGTCACGGTCATCAGGATTCTCTGGGTTCTAATTAACATAATTGCCTGTGATATTTGGATAACAAATGTATTTTTCTTTGTAAAATTAGAGCAGATTTATGGTGGAGCAGTGTGCTGCAGAAAACACAACAGCAGAGCTCAGGGTATTTTCCTATGCGTTTCTGCAGAAACTGTACGAGCTATGACGCATGTAATAAACCAGGGTATGGCCATGTACTGGGGAACATCCCGCTGGAGCCCGATGGAAATAATGGTGAGAAAACCAAAATGAGAATGTTAGAAATGAAAATTAAAGATTGGATTGATTTTCCTTCTCTTTCTGCTGATGCCTGATTTGGTTTATTTGATGTGCTTCTTTAGGAGGCGTACTCCGTGGCAAGGCAGTTCAACCAGATTCCTCCTATATGTGAGCAGGCAGAGTATCACATGTTCCAGAGGGAGAAGGTGGAGGTGCAGCTTCCTGAGCTTTTCCATAAGATAGGTGAGCATGGATCTAGAAGAAGAATAAATGTCTTTAAATGGTAACTGGGATGCGTGAGCTGTAGCTGGAATATTCCTTACCTCCTATTTAAAATTTGCATTATAAACATAACATTGGAATTAATGTTAGTTTTAAATAGAATCTTAGATTCAACGGCTTTAATTATAACACTAAAGTCAATTGATGTATTATAATGTTGACCGTTTTAGTTGGGTGGTCACAATGTTACAATTTCAAACTCTATATCATTAATCCAGGAAAATAATCAATGTCTTGATATCATTTTCAATACCTCTGGGATTAAAAATGACAAATAATTAAAGGCATAAAAGAAAATAAACTTAAGGCAAGGCAAATTTATTTGTATAGCACAATTCAGTACAAAGACAATGCAAAGGGCTTTACATGATTAAAATATAGGAAAATAAAACAGAATCAAAGCAAGTAGGAAAAAAACAACGCAGAAAAAAAAAAGAATATTAAAAACAGTTGGACTAAAGAAAATAAAAAAAAACTTGAACTAGTTAGATTAAAACATCAGAAACTCTGATTCCTCAGACGGACCATGGAACATGCTTTCTCACCAGAACTACAGAATCTACTTAAATAAATGTCTTAAATGGATAACAGACCTGAAATTAACAATAGCAAAAATATGAAAGCAACACTTATCTTTGGGATCAATAGCATACAGATTATGTATCTCGATGTAGTATTGATACTTTTGATAACCATTCTATTTTGGAATCATAGAATGGTTTTTATAGCAATTTTAATTTTCCAACATAGATTTAAAAAACATCAAATCACACATAAAATACATTTTAAATGTCTCCCTCGCTTCTACTTCATTAAAAATGTTTTTTTTTTATTTTAAATGTTGATGCCTTTAAAAAGTGGAAATGTTAAGCATTTAATTAACATTTACACTGACCTTTAGCTCAGCTAGTGATGAGCCAAAAAGGCTGTTTTTTACAGACTAATGTACTTTTTGCCTAAATTAAAAAGATTCAACAATGGCTATATTCCTAAATAGTTAATACTTGTTAGGATAATTATGATTGATGATGTGTGCGTTTATTACACCTTGGTAATGGCTCCCTGTTGTGCGTCAGAACTGATGTTTTAATCTAATTAAGACAGTTCCTCTGTTTGGATATACAGTTATAATCTTCATTCCGTACGTGACAAAGATTTGAAAATGTAATAAGAGTGGTGTCCTTCAGCTAAGAATGAAGTGTAATATTTTGATAAGGCTGGAGTCATGATATCTACTCATCTGCTAACGAGTATGATGTAAAATAAGATGATGTGGCAGATGTAATACATATAAGTTATGAAGTGTTACTTAAAGAGTCTGTCCTGAGTGATCTCCTTTCAGGAAAAAGAACCGGAGAGATATAGAGCATCAAGGTTCATACACAGAGCCTATCTTTAACATACTGCAGTTCAATTCTTTGTAATTTGAAAACCTGAGATGTTTATGTCAGAAAGGAAATAAGCCACATGATCAACACCATTAGCTAGCCTATATTTAATTTAAATGGAGTTATGTTCTGCACATAAACTTTGGCTTCTTTGATTAATCAAAATGTTTTTATTGGAACACAGAATTTACAGTTCAGTACTTTCGTCAGTCCTGAAGTCTTTTGTTGTGTATCTTTTTTAAGGGAGTATTACAAAAATGTGCTAACGGTCCACAAACCGCAACCATGACAAACAGTCAGAGTTCTTAAAGATTGCCTAGGAGCACCAAACAATACCCAAGATATAGCCGGAGCTTGACTTATGGAATGCTACAGACAGCTCTGGACAGCTCATTTCCCCTTATGACATCATAAAGGGCATAGTTTTTAAACAGAGCATTTTGAGCACACATTAAAAGGTGGAGAAAGATAATTATAGAGGTCAAAGGTTTTTTTTTTCTCATTTGTGAATCTCATGCGCAGGCTTCAGGACATATGAATGTTACAAAATGTTTATAGTATGAATTTTGCATAATGTTGGACCTTATAGTCAGCAACTCTTTCTGATGATGATGACAAACTCTTCTGTTTGTAGGTGTTGGGGCCATGACATGGTCTCCGCTGGCTTGCGGGATCATCTCAGGGAAATACGACGGCAGGGTGCCTCCCTACTCTCGGGCATCTCTGAAGGTAGACCCAGCACCATGCCACTGATCGGCAACCGCTCCGTTCATCTTTGTCACTCTCACTCCTCTGTGTTCCCCCTCCCCCACTGGTTGCAGCTTGTTTGTTTTATTATGCTTCTGTCTCTTTCAGGTTCGGTACCTCTGCATATTGTGCAGCTGTGTGTGTGTTGTCAGTGCCTTGTTGACATCGTCCACCTCTTCGATGTTGTTTATCTACCATCGGGCTCTGGCCCAACACATTTTAATGCACAGACTATATAACATACACATGCATGTATGTGTGCACAATAAAAAATAGTTCTAATCGGACACTCAAAAATAATTCAAGGTGATTTATAAACAGGTTTTCTTATAAGTGTGAGGGTATTAAGGTTTATGTGAACTAGTTTTTAAAAAGGAGATTTATCTCAGGGAACAGCCAGAAACTCATGAAACGTAAAAACCCTCCTTACCCTTCACGCTGTTGTGTCCCATTGTGGTGAAGTGGCATGTTTTATGTCTGTGGATTGTTTATCACTAAGTGGTTCATGAAACAGATCCCTTCTGTTGGTGTTGTTCAGTTCTTGCTTCGTGTTTGGCTCAGTGTTGCCTGTAGATGTTGTGTGCTTTTGGCACTTTAGCTGCGTAACCAATAGATTCTTTGACTGAGATGTTTTTCCCTCAGCTGGGCACTGCTATCTTATATTTTCAGTAAAGCGACCCAGCCCGATCAGGATTCCCATCTCTTAATAAAGATAAAAACGTGCTGTGTGAGAAGGAACAGCAGTGTTCACCCCAGCTGAGGTTTTGACAGCCGAAGACAGAGTCACATGTTTAAAAACAGGCCCTGGTGACACAACGGTGTGAGCGGGGCTGTGTTTTTGAGCAGGTGTGCTATGTTTTCAACAGGGCTACCAGTGGTTGAAGGACAAGATCTTGAGCGAGGAGGGCCGGCGTCAGCAGGCGAAGTTGAAAGAGCTGCAGGCAATCGCGGAGCGGCTGGGCTGCACACTGCCCCAACTCGCCATCGGTACGCAGATACACTCTGCCGCTCTCTCTCTTTCTGTCTGTCTGTCCGTCCCTCTGCCTCGGACGGGCCCGGGGTCAGTGGCGCTCTCGCAGCTGTCTGGTTTCACATGTTGTGTTGTCACGTGTCTGTCTGACTCACAGAGCACCTTCTTATATGAACGAGACATAAACACGGTATCGCCTACAAACATGGATCCAACTTATTCCTATAATTAGGACAGAAACATGCTGAATGTCAACACGTTGCATGCAAAAACGTAAACTGCGGTTGCCTCATGCATTTAACAGCTATGAGTCTCTGCATCAAAATAGGATCTACCAATCCAGCAAGTGACAGAAATCTATTTACTACTGGCAGCAAAGTGACAAACCTCCAAGGTGCAGAGTCCTGTTAAACCATCAGACTTTAGAAATGAGCTGCATAAATCACAGACTGCCTGCAATCTCAGATTGGATTGCTGCAGATTCTTCACCCTAACTGTAAAACACAGGCATAAATTAAGTTTCACAGCCCATTAGTGAACAGCCAATTTCCATAACTCCTCTCAGAGCTTCTAAAGGCTGCACAGCAGATTTATATGAACTCTGTCGTCCTTTAGACTCAAATGTTGTGGCAGAAAGAAAATACCCTGCCTTTAGCTTGAGGCTGTGCATTTGAAGCAGGTGTTAAATCCAGGAATCAGCCATTGAATATGACAAGTGAGCGAAGTTAATAGATGTTGGTGGAGTTTTTCAGGCCATTAGGCATCATGTATTTGTGTCAAATCCAGATGAAAAAGCTTCAAGTGTTCTCTTTACTGGGTAGTAATCTCAGTTTGGTAGAATTGCATTGAGTCATAATCCTACTATTTTTATAGCAACATTTTAACTCCCTTTGTGTTTTAATCTGATTTCAACTAAAGCTTCCTGAATTGCAAAAGCATTCAGTTGTATTGCGTAATACAGCCTCCAATTATAATCGCACACCGAGCAGGGATATGTTATTTTTGTGTCCGTTCTTTTTTTTTTTTTTTTTTTTTTTTTCAGGGCGATCGCAGAATGTCAGATTTCCTGCTTATCCTCAGCACAGTTCACTGATGAGAATTTAAAAAAGAAAAACTGCACCAATTTCTGTACTCTGAGAGGTTTGCAGATTTTGTCCTAGATCGTGTATCTGTGCTTCTTACGGATGATAATTTAGAGCAGCAATCCACATCCAAAGTGTCCTGGATCAAAGTAGACACAAAAGAGGAGGATCTATTCAAATGCCTGATATATCTATTGTGAAATGCATTCATCACAATAATTAGCCTTTTGTTTACAGAATCCAACTTTAAATGTCCACAAATCAAGCTAAGAACTACCATAAATATTAATGCAAAGATGCACCCTGAGCAGGTAGACAAAGAAAAACACAAATTTTAATGTAGTAAACATGGCTTAATTCACACTACTCTGCACCAGCAAATGAAGAAAAGTTTTAAAAATATGTGAAGGGGTTCCCTTAAAAGCACAGTGGGCTCCATATTTTCCATGGTTTAGTTTAGGGATTCTGAGAACAGCATGTTGTGCCCTGGATCAATCCTGAAACTGAATGTGAAGCTGTGGACACCTCATAAAACTAATATATGTAGGGAGTTTCTCTAGGTTAATATCCTGGTGCAGATGTGACACCCAAGGTGGTACCATTGTTTGAGGATGGCAGCTTGAATCATTTTTTTTTTTTAAGATTATTTTTAGGCTCTAGTGGACTTTATTTTGTTAGTTTTGAAAGTACGTAGACAGCAAAGTGGGTTACAAGAGAGGGGAGAGACGTTCGGCAAAGGTCAGCAGGATCGGGACTCACAGCTGTGACAGCTCGGATATTGGTCATGCGCTCATCCTCCACAGCATAGCAGGAATTACCTCCACACCATAGCAGGATTCCATAAACCCTTTTTTTAATCCAGTTCAAAACCATGTGATTAAAGTTGATTTCAATTATTCAGTGATCTAGGATGTTAGTGTTGCAGAGCAACTCCTGTGTAATTTTCTACTTGTTTAATGTATCCTAATCACTTTGAATGAGTACAGGATACCAAGCAACAAGGTATGAGATGCTCTTTTATTCATAATCAAACAAAATGCATCTAGGTTATTTGTTGTGTAACACTAATGTGTAGCGTACAGTAGCTAATATGTGTATCCAGTTATACTGTTATAGTTTACTTGGTTTCAATATGGAAAAAGTGTTATTTTGAGCAGCATGCGTTTGTGTGTGTGTGATGGATGTGGCCCGATGTGTGTGTTTGGTGATGTCATCAATGTTTACTGGTCTTCTGCAGCGTGGTGCCTACGAAACGAGGGGGTGAGCTCTGTCCTTTTAGGGGCGTCAAACACGGACCAGCTGATGGAGAACATAGGAGCGATCCAGGTGAGGCCGCAAAACGTTTTTCTGTTCCTGCAGAGCACATTAAGCATTTTTTTTTCTTAAAGCAAAACCCATCTCATCGGGCTCTGATTTCTCAGTTCTTCCACTCCTGAGTAGAGTTCGGCCTTTGAGCAGGCTTTACTGTACCATGTTAATAAGGTCAACCGCGTATCAGTAGCCGAGGGGATTGGAGATGCGCTCTCGACCACTTCCTGCTCGGCTGATAAGACTTGTTTTTTAATGGGGTTAGCATACTGGTTGGTTTTTACGTCCCTACTTCGTATTATGCTTGGCCTGCAGTAATGACCATCCCCTGTCTCCTTGATTTTTGATGCTTTGACTTCCCTCCCATGTCTGCTTGTGCGTGCTCTAAACCTGCCCTCTGTGCATTTGATATTTGGGCTTTAAAATGTTACTCTTACATTTCCTGAGGCATGTAGTTTTCCTTTTGCCAGACCTTTTTATCACACACCATGAATTACAACACAGGCACATATGGAAATGAGTTTTACTTTGAAAAGTGCAGAGAAACATACTTTCCACCTAAAATCTGTATTTTTTATTTATAATGTTAATAGTATTGGGTACATGTGGAATGGATTAAAAAATCTTGATGAATTCATTTGAATGCATAATAAAAAAATGTACCCACTGAATAATTGATGCATTTAAATTTTTAAATTTGACAGACTTCTTAGCATCACAACAACATGGGTGGAAATAACAAGGGGTTTGCAGCTTCTTCAGACTTATTGGTACCCCTAGGAAAGATATTAAAAAAAGCTAAAAGTCTTTTATTGTAGTAGTAAAACCCAAACTATTAAAAACATTCTCTTTACTCGTTTGCATTTGCATTTTCTAAACAGGACTGGTTGATTACAGCCGTTACTTTCCAATAACATTCTGGCCAGATTGTTTGACTTTCTTATGGCTCAGTCTGATATACTGTAGAGCTTTATGAACAGTATCTTTATGCTCATAGGTATGTGGAGAGATCATGAGGACAAAAAGCAACAAGAAGCCTTAGGAGAGTGAAAATCAATATCCTCATCACATTATTCCTTTTATAATATAATCCATAATGTTATATGTTCTGCCGAACTTCTGGGGATTTGAAGAATATTTATCTTAAATGAATCATTGAGAGCCAAGAAATATGACTCCTGTGATTCTTAATCAAAGGTTGGATTTCTACCGACAGTCGTTACTGCTGCAATAACAGCAAAACTTCTAACGCATATTTAATCTGAATGCCAAAAAATCTGGATAGTTGATAAACAACAATGTTCCATCTTTATAGTTTTAAATTCTAAGGGTGTATTCATGAAAAATGGTACAATGATAAAGCGGAGTGATGTTAATCTGAACTTGTGTTTAGGAATAATTAAGTTACTTAAAGCGTTTTGTACTCAAAGGCTAACTAGTGATGACCAAAGGGAAGGTAAGAGATCTGATGTTAATCAGGAGATCTTCAGCTGGATTGGCCATTAACACTAACCAAAGAAAAAAAAAAAACCTTGAACCTTTCTGATGTTTGCAGCATAAATAAAAGGCATAGGGAATGCAAGCAACACTTATCAGCTGTTAGTTTGTTGCTGCAGACAGAAAGTTAGAAGCTTTGGTATTTCTAAAAGGAACAACTTGTATAGAATTGTACTCGCATCTTGCAAAAAGCTGTTAAGAACAAAACAAGACTTTCCACAACATGTCTGCTGGCCCCCTGCTGTTGACGTCACAATGCAGCAATGCCACTCAGACACCTGTTTCTTACGAATCAAATCTTTTCTGGGCTAAATGTATTGTTACCAAGTCTTGTGTTTTAAGACAGAAGGAGATCTGCTATTTAACAAGGTGACACAAAACTTTTATTACTTGTTTTTATTAGGACTTGAGGTCAGGAGAGGATAAATGAAACATCTTAGAAAATTTCCTTCATGGAAATTTTACACAAAGAAAACAGTTCTACGTGTAGAAATTCGAAGGTTTTTGATGACAAGTTAAAAGTCATATAGCTTAAAGGTATAGTGGAGGATGCTCTTTTCCGGGGTGGACCATCTAAATTAGTGGTCCTCCTAATGTCAATCGTTCTGGTGATATGTTTGCGTAAGGCCTTTTACCCCAGTCTGCCCTTTACAACATAGTCCTACAGTTACTTTCAATAGTTTTCTTATCAGTCAGGTAAAATTTCATCAATCATCAGATAGACTAATATTACAGTTGCTCCTTAATCGACACACTAACGCTGCACCAAACTCATTCATGACCAAAGCATCATTACAGGCTGTGAGAGAGCAGATAACAGGAAGGCTGCAGCTATCATAATGCTTAACCCTTTTATTGCTAATGGAAGCGTAAAGCAACTCTGTACTATTCACCCTTTAAGAGGCGGATCTGTCATTGAATAAGTCATGTGCTCCGGGGCGCTGCTTTATGGCTGTCTGAGCTCACCTAAAGAACTAAGCTAAACGTTTTTGTAAGGCAACGAAACCAATATGATACTTACTAAACATATTTTTGGTTCTTTGATATACGATTTAATCTAGAGGGGTGAATGTGGCCTCCGTTTTACAAATAACTGCATGACTTCTCATTCTGCTGGTCTGTAGTGGTCTGCTATCGGATTCCAAAACATGGATAAGACTGTTTCATTTTGTAACAGTGCAATGTTGCCAGATACTTTCAGGAGGGCTTAGCCTGGAGGTCATGGGTCAAGCTATATGTGGCCTCCATTGTGTTCTGGGTACTCTTTGTCCCAGTTAGAGGTGTCTAGAAATCCTCCAACCTTTAAAACATATTAGAGAGGAATTGGTTAAACCAGCAAAAACGAGTCAGAAAACTGCGACAAATCTGATTGACGAATCTTGGTTTTTAAAATAAAATCTAGATCTGTTAATCTAATAGTAGTTTTTGAATCCAACATCATGTTCATCATTTCTCTTTACAGGTCCTACCAAAGCTGTCATCATCGATCACCCACGAGGTGGACAGCATCCTGGGGAACAAGCCGTACAGTAAAAAAGACTATCGCTCCTAACGGGTGCAATGGCCCCGCCCGGTAGGGCTGCACCCGGCCTGCAGCTGCAGCGCCCCACCTTTGCCTGATCCTCTGTTTGCTTGAGCTTTTACTGAGTGAGACCCTGGCGCATGAGTCTGGCCTCACCAAGGCCACGCAGGGCACCTCATTTAGAGTTACAGAGATAACAAAAAGGGGGAATAAATCGAGTCACCTCCGCAGGACGGGACGGTATATAAACTGAACAGTAAGAGAGGTTAGGGATATGCGCTCATAAGTAAATCAGTTATACATCTTATTCAGCTGAAAGTACTTTAAAAATCATGGAGAAAATTTAGGAAAAAACATCTTTTTAAAAAAACAAAACAAAAAAAAGCACATGCTTGCTTGGCAGCCAGACCTTTTTTTTTTCATAAACATTTTTCTAAAACTGAATGCAACTAAAAAAAAAAAAATCTATATATAAAGTTCATACTGTAGGAATATGAGAACTGCTGTTGCACATGTACCATAGACATGCATTTGTTCCTGAGACGTTCTGTTTACAAACACTTGTGTAAAAGTCCGTCAAAGTTTCTCTGTAAGAACGTTTGTGTTGTTGACGTCAGCGGGCCCCTCGAGGGCCTCTATCAGCACTTTAGTACTGTCAGTAAAGGTGTTTGGGGGAGGGGGGGTAGTTCTAAAGAAGAGAGAACATGAATATAAACATAGTCTTATGTCGTAACCATTGCACTATAGATTCACGTCGCTTCTCGTCCTCCCTGTGTTCCCGCTGACAGTACGCTTGTCCAGCCTGACGTACCGATGCTCCTGGTGGCCAGCAGGAGCAGCACTCGTCTGCATCACTGTGTTCCCCACCCTGCCGTTTTAAAGGCCGCACAGGAGGCGATGGCGTCTCACCTCTCCTTGATCGAGTTCTGTTCCAGTATTTGCCTTATTTACAGTTGCATCGTACTGTGCTTTGGGCTTCAGCGTAGGCAGGCAGCCCTCCTCCTTGGCTGGTCCCAGCTGAGGCTTCACTGTTGGGAGTGGGAGGAAGGAGGCACGTGTCCAGTTAATCAGTGGGCTGCAGCAGCTCAGGGAAACGGAGAGGGTGGTTTCATGTGGGCGTCAGTGTTTGGTAGGTTTATTTCGTTTGTTTTTCTTTTTAGCATGGCTCGAGCCAAAGATCTTTGTCTCTTTTTAGCTGACACACTTTTACTTCCTGCAACAATACGGGGTCATCCTTAAGCATGTGTTGTCCAGCTTGGTATATCTATTTATGGGATGGACTCTATTTCATATATCTTTACCTGACCAGACTCTTATAGTGGTTAGCAAAAATATGTCCTTCATATACAGAACGCGCAAGTAGTGCGGCCAAATGCTTTTAGTGCGGTAAGATTCGGCCTAAGCAGCAGAAAACCCGGCAGACCTGGTGCTGATGGCATCAGTGTTTGTCCTTTGGGGGGGTCTCTTACTGTGACTGAAGCACAAGCTGATCGCATGTGACACATCAGCCGATGGGGTGAGCAAGATGATGCTTCTCAGCTTTAAAAAAGTTGTGTACATAAATCTTTACAGCTCATATATCTCACTCTTATTTGAAGAAAGCTAAGAGAAAAAAAAAACAAGTGCAGATGAAAAAAAAAAACTTTCAGTGTTAATCAGAGATGTAAGCAGTTCTCAACAACTGAAGGGATAATCAGACGGGATATGTTACGTTTTTCTTTGAGATAAACCACTTTAGTGTGTGTGTGTAGACATGGAGATGGGATAAATAAACGAATCCTGCTCTTAAGCCTGCTGTAAAACATCCATGTTTAAGTCATATTTGCATCATTTGTTTTTGAGTAAATAAAACAAAATAGGTTTCACTCTGGAAAAATGAAAAAGTTAATTTATCTGTGAAGTTCCTGTCCTGGTATTTTCATATGCAGGGAGCGAAAAAGAAGTCTGAGACTTTGAAAAGGAAGTGGTGACATTTTAGGAAAAAAAAAACCACATGTTTGTTTTCTTTCTTTCCAAGAAGCAAGACTGACATTTTATCTAGATACATTTGCTAAATGGATCGCAGGGAGGAGTAGCTGGTTTACCTCAGTTTTACCGGAACCAAAATTCACCTGCAAGCATCTTTAAAGCTCCTCAATAAACGCATCAGACTGTTTTATGGCCAGGGCAGAAAGTTTGAACACTTCCTGCAGTTTGATGCCATTGTTCCAAATAAGTATGATTATGAATTTGAAATTTTAAGTCTCCTTTTTGAATTGTTCATTATGAGAAGAGTAGAACTTTCCTGAAGGCTGCCAGGATAGTTAGCTATCTGTTCAAAGCTAAAACCTTTCTAGATGTTTCATCAGGAGCTGTTGTCTCATTTATAAGTCATTTAGCCCAGACTGACATCAGCAGTATTAGATGTGAAATTCTAAACCAGGGGTACAAAGAGGCAGATGGGTGAATAGAGCAGGAGTCATTTAAATACATATCTGACTCCGACTGAAATGTTTAAAGCATTGTTACAGAGCGGTTTGTCTCAATGTGAGGCGCTTTTAGGAGCTTAATTTACTATTTTCATAAACAAACTAGTAGAAATTAAAGGGCTTGTACAGATCAGTATTGACCGTTTGAGAACTTCCCTATTTTCTTTGTGAGGACGTTTGTAAATGTGTCTCTGCTTCTTACTGCACATTTGTGGGGGTGAAAAATATCCATACGATGAACTTAACAGTCCTGACAGCCCGGTTCTGGCTGGTTGTAGTGGTTTCATTGTAGATCAGAATAAGGAGAATGTTCTTATCATTCTCTTCTGCTTTAAAAAGTGAGAAGTCCTAATTTGGTTTGTTTTCTCTGATTCATTGGTGATACAGTGATGCTCAGCACCAACACAATTAACAAATGAAGTAAATAAATACTTTCCTCAGGAGAGAGAATGAAGAATAACTCTTCAGTTTAGCATCTTGTTTAGAACCTGGAGGTGGATGGGTGTCAGTCTTCTTTTCAGAAGTAAAATAAACATGTTTCAGTAAATGTTTTCCTTTGAACTGTGCATCTCCTTGTCCCATTGCTGGTACTAGTAACTGCACATCGCTTGAATACCTTCATGTTTTGAGGCCTCTGTGTGTGGGTGTGTGTGATGCCCTAATCTGTGCAGGGAATTAAATGCTTTAAGAGTTCCTAGTTTTATCATGTTTCCTGTTCCGATGGTATGTTAAAGATCCAACAAATGGACAGAGTTTAGGTTATACAGAGAATATATTTTTATGTTTTAGCCTTTAAAGGCATAGAGAACATTAAACGAGCTGTTATTTTTATTTCCCATCATGCTGCATTATCCTGTCAGTATTGTATGGAGTTTAAGGAATGACCAAAACAAACGTGTGTGTGTGTGTGTTCTGAGGGATGCTCGGATGAATTCACTGAAGACCACGCAGTGGGAGCCTGGCATCTTCTGTACATACTCTGACCTTTGTGTACATACTTGTGGTTGTGATCACCTCTGCCTTTTTCTCTTTTTATTTGTAGTTTTACTTTTTTTTGCAGGCGTTGCTATCTGCACTGTGCTTGAATCTGAAACTTAGACAGGATGTACAGCTTCAATCTTTAACTGAAAAAAAATGAATTAATGATAAAAGATAAGAATGGTAAACCAACTAAGTGTGTCTGTCTTTATTTCTCAACTTGGTCATTGATCATTGATCAGCTGTAAAACATACAAAATATAAATATGAAGTAATTTTTACACAGAATCTACTTTAGGACAGTTTCTAGATTGTGTTGCTTCATTTAATGTGACTTAGATAAAAAAAAAAAATAACTTAGCTGTCCAACATTTAAGCGTGTGTAATATCCCATCATTCAACAGAGATACAGGTAATGTACTCATAACCTTTACATTGTGCAAGACTTACATTAGATTCATTTTTTTGTAGTCAGCCAACACAAATTACTGTACGTAAAGCCAACCAGCCATCCATCCATGTTTGATAAATCAAATATAAAGTTGTGGCTCTTGTTACTGTGACAACCTTAAACTCCTGTGCACAGAGTTGCCTTTATGATTTATCTAAGTATCTACCTGTGTGTAATTTAGTACAACTACAGCCGGTCTGTGAAGGCCTTGGAGGGTTAACTTTAGAACAAACTGCTTCCTGGAGGTAAATGGCAAACATAATTATGGAGAAGATTAGTCCCTGCAAGACTCTGGGCTTCAATTCTCCTAATATATTTGTAATGTAGCCCACATACACATGCATCCATAGAAACAGATTGTTGCATATTCCAAACACACAACAAACAATATCTGAGGTACGCTGCTGCCATTAAAGTTACCCTTAATAGTTCTCATTTGCATATTACATTTAAATATTATTTAAGTTAATTCAGGCAGCAAGGGCTTATTTATGAGGATTTATTTAATTAATTTGGCTTTGCATAAAGCACTATTCCACCCATTATCCAAAAAGGAGCAGATCAATGCAAAGCCAAACAGCAAGGAAAGAATCAGAAGCAAACAAGAGGCCACTGGATGAGCTGTAAAGGTCCAAAGCTCAGCAAGCAAAATCTGAGGATCATGTAGGTGATGCAATTCTGCTCAAGTCTGATCTGATTGGCTACACAGAGAACACACTATGAGAAATTATGGTCAACCTTTAGGGGAAAATCGGTCATAAAATTTCAGCTATAATGGAGTTTATATCAAGGTTTTTCAGTTTTAAAATAGTACAGACTGAGGTCTGATTTAAAAAACATATTATGCAAATATTGATCTTCATAGATGTCTACACATGTAGAAAGCTGGTGGAGAAAAACCCCCAGCAGATTTGCAGCTGCAGCTAAAAATCTATAGTCAATTGACTGAGGGGTGTGGCATACAAATAAACATTTTTAATGGATTTTCAGCCATTAGTCATTCTGTTTTGACTTCACAATAATTCATTACTTTGTGTTGCTTTGACATGAATCATAAGTGAATATATGAAAGTTTGTGGCTGTTAAAAGTGAAATGTAAAAAAATGGTATAATTTGGGTTCAACGTTTGGAAATTGCTGCCTTTTAATCACTATTAAAATCTGCATGAATTGCTCCTGGGAGGGTTTAATATACAGTGCCTGCAAAAAAGTTAAATTAAATGACTTTACAAGAGGTCTTGCAAATAATGTCCTGATGCTGCACTCTGCTTATGGGAATATAGTCACAGTTTTCCCACAGATCCAGGTTGCAACCTTGTTTTCAGCTGCAGTTCTCTTCAGAGTCTCTACAGAGGCTGCTGCTTCCTGTCAGACTTTTTCATTTCATTGTTCATCTGTCCCAGTTTCAGTTTTCCAGCTCTGTGGAGCTGTTATAATGAGTTATGCACGGAGTCCCCTCTGCTGCTTCCATAGCTGAGGAGTTGGGGTCCACCTGAGGGGAAATCAGCACATGAAGCAGAGCTGTGAGTCCAACACTCAGATCTGATCAAAACAAACTGAAAGAAATAAACAACACAGCAACATTAGCTGCAGTGTCTGCACTTCTGCCCCACACAGATGGTACCTGAACACCGTCAGCATTTGACACTGCTTATTTACTCTGATTTCACCGAGTCAGCAAAGAGGCATCCTTTGATACTGACTCACCTCCAGTGTGTGTGTGTGAAGTCACTGCTGTACCTTCCTGACAGGAGAGTCCCATCCAGCCGTGAGGGCAGAGGCAGCGACCGCTGCGACGGTCGCACTCTGCCCCATTCGTACACTCGCAGGTCTCTGCGCAGTCTGGCCCGTAACGGTCACCTCTGCAGTCTGAAACAGAACCAGGATCAGTAAAGAATAAACAAGAGCCTGCATGGCAGCTTCATCAATGCAGCTTTAAACAAATTTTCAACAATATTAATAACATCCTTTTATGATTTTTTTTTTTTTACCTTGTTGGATAAACTTGATAGAAAAGTGTTGATCAAACACTGATTAATAACATCTGAGATGCACACAGGCCAGTGGCCATTACCAAAGCTAACACCTATCATTATAGAAACTTTGTTAGAAAAATGGTACATCTATTTTAAAATATTTAAGTACAACCCTGGGGATAATTTTTGGTTTTATTTGGTCAAAATTCAGCTTTAAAGATTATCCTGGAAGTCCAGTAAACGGCGAATAATGAATTCTATTTAATACACCAATTATTAGAGAACAGCGAGGAACTTTATAGAGAAAATATTCGAGTTTAACTTCAGCGTCTCGGCATCAGCCTGTAGATACAACAGCTGAAGATGTCAAGACTGATTGCCATCAACATTTTCAGCTTCAGTTCATTGTCAGAGTACCATCTATGCACGATGACATGATTATGTCACACAGATGTCCAACAACCATAACAGGGGAAGTTTAAAGGTGAACACAGTGCACAAGTTCAAAGCTGCCTCTCAGAGCTGTAAGAACAAAACTTTTTTTTTTCAGTTTACTCTTAATGCATTATTTAAAACAACTTTTTCTTTGGTGCCCATGAAATATGAAGTAGGTTTGCAGGCAGTCCACGGAGAAAGTCTTCCTAACAGTTCTGAGCTGATGTTTTGTGAAATTCGTTGATCAAAAGTAATTTTTCATCTCAAAAAATATTCCAGTGTTGAATATTTCATTATATGCTGTCGGGGTTAGAAAAAGGCTGAAATCCAAAAAACTGCTTTTATACTCAAGTCTCCTCTATTTCTTCATATTCCAATTTAAAGTGCATCTTTGAGTCTAAACCATTATAACTCTTAATATGAAACCAAAATAGATTTCTTTTTGCTTCTCTGAGTTGATGCTTGCTCTCAGAGTTGGAAAAAGGACTGAAACTTACCGATGTCACATCTGGTCCCTGTCTTCCCCGAGGGGCAGATGCATCTTCCAGTCACGGCATCACACGGAGCGTCGTCTTCACAGTCACACACCTCGTTGCAGCCTTGACCGTACCTTCCCTGCTCACACACTGCGGACAAAGTCTAGTATAAAATGATTTATCGTATTAAATTTTTTTTTTTCCCATGAGATTAAACCGACCTTTATGGCATCGGGCCCCGTGATATCCTGGAGGACAGATACAGTGGCCTGATACTGGGTGACAAGTGGCGCCGTTCATACAATCGCACTGCAGCTGACACCGTGGACCATGGAAACCAGGAGGGCAGACTGAATAGGAGACATTCAAAAGACACCCTTAAAACATGCGGTTGGTTAATCATTTAGAAACATCTAGAAGTAGAGACCGAGTCAAGCGAAGCTCTGTTGATGGGGACATTAGATACACGCCCTCATATCTAAATACAGTAAACTCTGGCAGTTGGTGTCCAATCATCATTTTACGCATGAAGATCCTTTATAAGGAGGGGAGGATAACAGATATTTTAAAGCTCAGGCAAGGAAATCAAAAATTATGACTGGTGTAACTAAATAAAGTAAAAGAATCTTAGATTATCTTAAATTAAAAGCACACGAGATGTAATTTCTATGCTTTATACTGAAATACACATCAGCTCCACTTCATAGTTCAGCTAATATCATTTATTAAATATTTAAACATTTCCATTAGCTAGACTGGGTATCCAACATGTGAGTTCCTAATCTGTCCATCCAGTTTTTATTAAAGAATATTTTCAGCAACAAACAGCAGAAAGTCGCATAAAGCAAATAAAAAGCTTCACAGCAGCAGGATGTTACAGTGGTGTCCATGTTTATCACACTCAAAGAGCATGCCTGCCTGTGGAAACATGTGACTCACTGTAGTCTACGACAGTGGAGGCCAGCTCCACTCAGCCTTGTGCAACCCTAAGGTCTCTGGGAGCAAATGAGATCAAAACTGTCGTCCCTTCCGGCTAAAGCAAAACATCAGATTTATCCCTTAGGACACTTTCACCCCTCTTTCTGTGTACCTGTCTGTTTGATCCTCACCGTGTTCACACAGATGTCCGTAGTATCCTGATCCGCACTGACACGTTCCCGTCACTTTGTCACAAGAGCCATTATTTTGACAGCTACATTTCAGCTGACAGTTGACGCCGAATCGGCCCACAGGACACTCTGGGAGGAGACGAACAGGACAAAACATCAAACCCATGACTTCACACTGTGGTATTAAAACACTGCAAACACTTTCTTATTTATTGTTGAACTGTAGCAGTAATAAAATCTTGCTACCGATGTCACAGCGCTCCCCAGTCCAGCCTAGAGCACAGGTGCAGTTTCCTGTCAGTGAGTTGCAGGATCCTCCGTTACTGCAGTTACAGCGCTGGATGCAATTCGCCCCGAACCAGCCGAGAGGGCAGCCTGAAGCTCAAAACACACACCGCAAATTATAATGAAGGAGCCGCTGAAGTGGAGAGAGAGGATGAGGTTGATGAAAGAGACAGAAGAAAAAGGGAATGAATCCAGTGGACACATTCTAAATAGAATGAGAGAGAAAATGTTTTAACTCACTTTTTTGACAGTCCTCTCCTCTGTGTCCCGGGATGCAAACACATCTGCCAGTGATGGGGTCATTCTGGGCCTTTTCTCCACACAGAGCTACCTGGCTGCAGTCCACACCATAACGCCCCGCGGGACAAGCTGGCACCAGACACAAACTCATCTTTCAGTCACTGTCCCCTTAACTTTTCCCCAAAAACTTTTTACATTTGATCCCATTCCTGACAATGTTTTTGTTGTGATTTTTTTGAATATTTACACTAAGAAGTTTACATTTGTGAAGGGAAGCTGAACATAGCTTTTAAATATTACAAATAAAAACCTGAAAAAAGAAAAGTTCATTTATTTTTTTGTCATTCCCTTTTACAGCGAACTTGTGCTGCAATTAAAGCTGCACATTAATTTCTACAGATTTTGTACATGTACAGAATATTTTTCTTCTATTTAAAATAGGTTAAGCTATGTTAGATTGGATGGAAAGCAGCCATGCACTGTAATATGTGAGGCCTTTCTCACACATGGATCTGCTAACAGGCAAATCTTCTCAATACCAAATCCTATTTTTCTCTTTGTTTACTGAGTCTGCCTTCACTGTTAGCAGCTAACTGCAACAGGAATTCCTGTTACTTTCTCTAAGTAATGATTTTGTTCATGAAACCTTTTCATAAAACAATTTTGTGAAGTGGATGACGAGTTTTTCTATTGGCTAATTCTCCCACCTGAGCTGTGGATCAGTTCGGCTCCTCCAGAGTTTCCTTGTGCTTCATGGCTGCTTTATTGAATAATCCTCTGCACTCAGGCCATCAGTCTAGGCTTAGTTGTTCTCATTTACCTCTAAGGCCTTGATCGAACAGCTGAATTTACATTGAAATTAAACTACACAAAGATTGACTCTAATGAAGTCAAAAAAAGTTATTCTACTGTTGTGGTGGGTTTCATTTTCTGGAGCAGAAACAATAGGTGGTTTAGCAAGTCAAACTTTTTATATGTTTTTTATTCTCCATTAATTCACAAACCCTGTTGGACTTTAGTTCTCCAAGGCAAGTTTATGTTTATGGCACAATTCAGTACATGGACAATTCAAAGTGCTTTACATGAATTAGATAATGAAATACAAGACAAATATAAGCAAAAATATTTGTAAAACAATTAAGACAATTGGACTACAAAAAAGAATAAAAGCAAAAAAAAAAAAAATCTAAATGATTTTAATTCATGACGATGCTCCAGGTTTGGTTTAAATTGTTGCTGACTCCATATTTATAATTATGTTCTGTTTATAGTGTTTGTTCATCCCTTGCTGGACTGCACCAGGACTAAAGACGATATTCTCTAAGGGATAAACTAGTTCTCCCAACACTTATAACTCAAATAAATATCAAATAAAAAGCTCTTTAGTTTGTGAGGTAATTTGACAACATGTGAAAAGGTTTAAAGGTTGATATGAACTCACCAATGTTGCAGCGCGGGCCTATGAACCCAGCTGGACATTCGCAAGCTCCGGTTGAAGGGACACACCTCCCTCCATTTTCACAGCGACACTCTCTCTCACAGTTCAGACCATAGCGACCCTCTTTACACACTGAAAGAACACTCAGCGTTGTTAGTCAGGGTTTTGGACTAATTGTTACCATGTTGTCTTCTTTCCTTACCTTGGTCACATTTGGAGCCATGGAAACCTGGAGCGCAGTAGCACGATCCAGTCACTGGCTGGCAGAGCTGGTTCGTCTCTGAGCATTGACAAACCTGGTTACAGTTTGGGCCAAAAAATCCTGGAATACAAGCTGAAAGACAGAGGTTCACTAGTGCTGAGTGATTCAGATGCTTTCCTTTTTTCTTTCCTTGTCTCCTAACTGATTAAGTTTGAAACTGGGGTGGGGGGGGCTGCTTTTTATTCATAGCCTGGAGATACAGTAGGAGGTTCAGGAGCCACAGATGACTGCTGCAGGACTCACTCTGTTCACAGCCGTTGCCGGTGAATCCAGGAGGACAGCCGCACTCTCCAGAGACATGGTGGCAGGAATTTCCTTCTGCACAGCTGCAGTGCTGCATGCAGCCTTCCCCGAATGTACCGGGCAAACAGGCTGGAAAATAAAACATGGGAACAATGTCAGCTTTTTGAATTTAAATTTATGACCAAATGTTTTATGATTTAACTAAATAGAGGGTTCTTAATAGCTGTCAGTACAGTGAGTTCAGACTAAACACACCCTTTAGAGCCACCTTAAGTAATAAGAACTTGAAGCAGGGCTCTACTGCATTTGCATTTCATACTGCTGTGGAGAATCTGGCTCTTTTTCATGTATTTCTCAATTAGTAAAGGCTTGCCTGTATTTGTTTTTGAGCAGCTCCCTTAATGCCTCTTAATGCTATTTCAATCAGGTTAAGGAAGATTTTGATTTTAAAACATTTGATTCTAAACTTGCTGCCATATTTGGGGTCATGCCCTCTCAATATAATAAGGCATCTATGTAGACTGATAGGGAAGTGCTCTCTCATTTGACTCCACAGTACTTTGGTGTGACTACAAAACAAGGCCTCGCTCTGCTGTTTGTTCCTATCAGTTCAACTTTTTCCTTTTATGTTCTTTGCTTTTCTTGCTGATGCTACTGTTGATAACCAAATAACCATGCTTTGTAAAGAATATGCAGCAACAATCTTGGGGTTCATGCAGCTACTACTTTTTTTAAAATGCATGTTTTGCTGTTATAATTATTTAAAGGGACCTTTTTCCTGAAAATGCTTCCAACTTGTTCATTCTTTTTCTGACTGTATTGTGATGAAATTCTACATGTCACACGCTAAATGAGGCCTGTAGGTGTAGTTGTTGCATCCTTTTTGTTATTCCTATGCAAAATGTAAAATGTAACAGACTGATGAGCTGCAGTAGTTCCCTGTTTAAGGACAATGGTGGTTATTTTCCTCTGTGACATTGAGTTAATACAGACTTGTCTGTTCTGACTGACAAATGGTCCAAAATTTGTATCCAACATATTTTTATTGCTAATCCTGGGGGGTCAAATTCCTGCCCCTTAGGGCTGTAACTTCTTCATATGTCTAAGGCTCAACACAACTGACTAAAATGGCAGAATGACCGTATCAGCATGCAGTCACATGTTACAGAGTCGATCTATTCTAATCATTATGTTGAAGCAGAGACACTTTTAAAGCCATGGCCCCGCTTCAACAGCAGTACCTTTGTCACAGAGCTTTCCCCTCCATCCAGGAGGACATTTGCACTCGCCGGTCACATGATGACAGGAAACCCCGTGCATGCACTGACAGCGTTCGTTGCAGCCAGCCCCATACAGGCCTGCTTCACACGCTGCTCACAGGAAGGTGAAGACATGATTAAGAAAAACACACAGAATTGGCATCATGTGAGCATGCTTTTTTTCACTCCGCAGCGGTTCACATGAGGTCATCCTTTCTAAAGTTAAGCTGAGTGACCCACCTTTCTCGCAGCGCTCTCCAACCCAGCCAGCGCTGCAGCTACAGCGTCCTGTCCGTCTGTCACACAGGCCACCGTTCTCACATTCACACCGCTGCTGGCAGTCTGCCCCGAAATGGCCCGCTGAGCACTCTGTCCAAACACAGCCACATGCACAAACACAGGGAAAGAGACATCACAGCGTGAGGCCTGTTTGACAGAAACACTGTTAGGAGTGCAACACACCTTTTTTTCACCCACTTAATGACAGAACCACACAAGACACCGGGTTTGGAGACATTCCTGTGACGAGATTAGAAGCATTCTGTGCATGGGGGAGGAATGAGGGGGTCCTGGCTGAACGCGAAAGGAAAAGGTTGTAACAGTCACAGAGGGAGGATAGCGTGTGAAGTAGCTGGAATATCATCAGCGGGTCAATCGGGTAACACACTGGCTGCCAGCAAATAACCAGACTTTAGGCAATAATAGATGAGCTCAGGCAGCAAATTCAAACCAGTAAATTACTACAGTAAAAATGAAAGAAACATTTGAATTAGAAGTTTATTTCAAAGTCTTTTGATCCCCCTCATTACAATTCTTTAGGCTTTGATCAACAGAGGGAGAAGTATCTCAGACATAACTTGAATCTCAGTTTAATCCTTCATTGTGAAGTAGCGGCCTAAATGGTAATAGAGCTGCATGTTTCCATCCTGGGGAGGAAGTAGGAATCACTGGCTTAAAGCACAGATTGTGGATGACTCCCTACAACACCTTTAATCCCAGAATCCTCCCAGGTTCTGCACAGTGTAGCAGCCCAATGGTTTCAAAGCAGAAAACAAATGTTCCCTCAATATAAGACAATATGGACACATTGAGATTGTTTTGCCTAATTTGTCTAACGTTCAATAAGTAATGCTTCTGACCCACTTCAAAGTCTTTGATCCAGCTGAAATTATGCATCTGCAATTATTGTGCATCCACATATGTGCATTCTTTCAAATACAAAAAGCGAATCATTGCTCGAAACTCAACAGACTCTATTTCAGACTGGACTGAGTCTGTAGAACAACGAGGTCTGCATCACAGATCCTCCATAAAAGCTGAAAACTCTTCGACATATTCAGCCTTTTAGTTTTGCACCAAACCTCATAAAGTGTTTGTTACAGAAAATCATCTTAATAAAGTTCCAGATTATGTCTCAGTTATTATTTAATGAACAACTGATTATGATGGAAGGAGAGAAAAGGCTTTTTCTGGCACAACTTTCCAACATTTTGGCATCTAATGGTTTGTTATGTTAGCTTGGTGACCAAAACATGCGGCCACCTCAGGACATCGGTCCAGGCTTGGTTGGCACAATCAGCTGTTTTAAACGTTTTAAATATGGAGGTTGCTACTTCTAACACACTTAGAAGGTATTTTCTTATCTCTTCCTTATTTGAAATAGGGGCTTTAAGAAATGTTCCTCTCTTTTCTTTTAGATTTATACTCTTGGGAAACAGGAAGTAAATTAGTAAGTCAGATGCACTAGATTGTACTCAAAATGAAAATTGTAGCTTTAAAACATGTTGCTCACATTAAAGCTGTCATTGTTTGAGGTGCAGTTGAAAAAAATAAGTATCCCAAATTCTTAATGAGCAAATGTTTCTACATTTTCAGTGAGATCTTTAGCAGGGATGCTGTTAATTAAGGAGGCAGTATTCAGCTTTTACTACAAACTTTAATTAAAAAACATCACATAAGCTTGTTAAACCTTAATAGATTTCTGCAGTTATCTTTTTCAGTGGTAATCTAAAAATAAAGAGCTATTTAAAACTAATTATTACTCAAGTACTGCACTTTGTGATGAAGTGTCACCCACCCAGTTCACAGGCCGTGCCTGTCCATCCATCAGGGCAAGTGCAGTTTCCATCAGTTTTGTTGCAGGCGGCTCCGTTCTGACACAAGCAGAGCTGCTGACAGTCTATTCCGTAAAACCCAGCAGGGCATTCTGGGAAAAGAACAGACATAAACGCTCTGGTCTGACCTCGTCTTCACCTGTATCACAGATGTTCACTTCTCCTGGGAGCGCAAACTCACCTTCTGTGCAGTTGGTCCCGGTCCAGCCTGCCATGCACGCACACTGCCCACTGGCCGGGTGGCAGATGCCGCCATTGTGACAGCCACAGGTTTGGTTACATCCCAGCCCATAGAACCCAGTCGGGCACGCTGCCAGGAGACAGAGAAAACAATATGATTACCTCGAGGTGAACTCTGATCATGAAAAGTCAAAATTCCAGCATTTTGAAAGTAATCCAGGCTGCAGCATGGGGAATGTCCAGATGGTACTTTCTCACGTTGGACTGGAATTTCCTTAATATCTAAAACCAATCCATTTTTCATCCTATTTTAATTCAGAAACTTTTAACATTCAATTAAGTTTGTATTAATCGAACAGTAGTTATGAAGAAATATCAATTAAAATCAGTTTGATTCATTCCATTATAATCCAACCATATCAACTCGGTTCCACTGGTCCGGTTGATATGGTTGATATGATAAGGTCCGGTTAAAATGCCAGGCTTTATGGTTTGATAAAATATGCAGAGATGATCATTACAACCTGTTCCCACATGAATAACATTTATCTTGCACAACTCACTTGAAAAAATGAAATATTTGAAAGGAAAGATAAAATTCCTAAACAACCAAGATGTAAAAGTATGAACACATTTAAACCAAGAGATGGTTGAATCAGCTTCGGTTTGCTATTTTTTAAACTGAAAATATTTGTCCATCTTGCTTGAAAAAACTTGTAAAAATACTTTAGACTGTAAAGAAAACATACATTTTGCTCCCATTAACCTAACTGCCATCAGAACAGCAGTAATCCAACAGCACGATACTACCAACACCGTGGTTCAGTTAGGGTATCGGGGTCTGTCAGTGATATAATGTGTTGTTTTTGATTATCTAATCAAAATGTGGCCCAGAAGCTCAAATTCGGTTTCATCAGACATAACACATTGCTCCCCATGTTTATTTTTCTTACTATGTCTGATGGTTTTTGTAGAAAAAAATCATCAAGATGCTTTCTTGCAAGACATAACTTTATTTCAGATACAGTGTATGAATAATTCATGAGAGTTTTGTCAGCAGGTTTTAAAAAATCCTGTAGGGTCCCGCTGCTCTCTGACCAGCTTCTGTCATATCTTTATCAGTTTATGAAGAACTTCTATATTTGGTAACATATTGTCCTTTATTTTATGCCCTTGTGGGTGACTGGCTTCTCTGGGCCATGAAGTATACCATAATGAAATAGATTTTGTTTAATTGAATGTAATTCCATTTCAGGTGAACAGAATTGAACGGATCAAAAGAAAAGTTATTTGGAAAACAAATTCAATCAAATCATACAGAGATTGGTTAAAGTTTTCTCTTATCTAAGCAAACCCAGTATATTGCATTGAGTCAATGACTGGAGCGTTCACTCCTCATGGATGAGAATGTAGGGATGGTGGACGGTTGCATTATTGACTTTGCAGTAATCCCTCATACCAAGCATGAGGTGAAAAACACCCCTTAAACAAGAAGGAACCTGGAGCAGAACCAGAGCTAGGCTCAGTGTGAAAAGTCCTCTGCCATGCCAGACCTGTGGTTTATGTTTTCTTCTTTTGACTAAAGGAGGATTCACACAGTAACATAATTGTTCCTGTTTCTGCCCCAATGTTCCTGTACGAGAGCCTCTCAGCCCAATAATCTGGAAGATATTCCTGGTGTGTTAAGAGTGATCAGGTGTGCTTGGTAAAACGTCTAAGACTGTTCCTATCTCAAATCGGAGCAGTCTAGATGTTGGATTGTCTTCGCCCAATGTCCTGTCATATGTGGTGTCCCCCATGTCAAGCATGCTCAAATGAATCAGAGAGCTGATCCAGGAGCTGGCTGGGAAACAGTCCCAATATAAGCAATGATCTCTCCCTCTGTAGAGCTGTCACCATAAACCATGAAAAATGAACAAGAATACCGTAATATAAAGAGTCAAAACTCCACTTAGGATTCCATTAAAAGCCAGGAGAAATTAGTTTTGTTCTTTTTTTTTCCATGTACAGCACAGGGAAACATAAGTCCTCAGACTTTTATACTCTACTACAATGTTTAGTTAACAGTGGAGAAAGAATTGTATTATTAATACCATATCAAAATATAATTTCAATATTAAACATTAACTGTAAATGATCAAACTTGCCAAAAAATAATATTTGATTCTCTATTCTGCTACTTTCAGTCTTTACCATGTAAAAACGCTTAATAATTAACATTTAGTCAGAAACGGCAACCACTCGAGAGATTGGCCGGATTGAGCGCTGTCACTAGGAATGGTATGTGGGGATGGTAAAAACAGACCAGCATGTCTGTCTCTACACACTGCAACTGTGTCAAGAGCTTTATAATCGGCTCGTGTTGGACACAACACACTAAACGACCATCCCTGGTTTTTATCTTCATGTGGGGGTCTCTTAAGTTTAAAAAAAACACTTGATCTTAAAATTCTGCCATGTGAGTCAGCTTTAAAGCATTTGTTAATATCTCTGCAAACTGTGGCCTTTGCATCATTGAGCCAAATATTGCAAGAGTATACATTTTAAAATAAGCCTGATGTTGTCAGGGAGCTGAGTTTTTTTTCTGATATGATTTATAACAAGCGTTAACTGAAGATGAGTGAAACTGAATAAAAAGATGATTGGACCAAAAGCAAGCCAATATAGGTGTGCCGTTATCCAGCAAGGTAAATGCAGCTTTTTATTTCCTCTGAAAATATAGATCTCATGTGAAATAACCAGGATGTCGGTTTATGTGGAATAAGATCACAATAAAATACTGGTCTCCCGAATAGTCACAGTAAAATTGTCAAATATAATGGAAATTGCAGAAAAAGACCAGCCAAAATCAGCTGATAATATAATGTGATTTGATGCTTGGTAAAAAAAAAAGTGAACCAAGGAATTCCAGCTGATTGTGTTGAATCACTGACTTTACACTAACCCTTTCTGCCACTAAAGTATGCAGTAAAAGTGGAGAGGAAAATTTTCTATTTATTAGCCTAAAGAATCCAGAAATAACATCAGCTCCTGTTTTCACAGCATCTATCTGTTCCCATCACTCACGTAAGTTACAGAATGGGCCGATCCAGCCTGCAGGACAGGAACAAGCCCCACTGATGTGGTTGCATCTTCCACCGTTCTGGCAGAAACATTTCTCCTGGCAGTCCAGACCGTAGAAACCCTGAGGACATGCTGAGACAAAGATACAATCCTCATTTTACTGCCTATTCAAGCTGGAGGAATCTAGAATACTGATAGAGGGGCTTCTCTTACGCTTTTCACAGAATGTGCCCGTCCATCCCGCCCGACATGTACAGGCTCCACTCACATGGTCACACAGGGCTTCATTTTCACACTGACAGCGATGATGACAGCCCAGACCAAACACACCTGCTGGGCATTCTGGGGGTAAAACCACAAACAACACAGCAGTGACACAGATCCATGAGTGTACGAACAGATTGCTTTCTGTGAACCTGTCACTTTAAATCCCACTTTAAATTGCAGATAGAGGTTGTAACTTGAAAACAAATAGATGAAAGCAAAGCATACTCTGATGGCAGCTTGGTCCAGTGAAACCTGCTTCACAGCTACACACGCCCGTTACAGCATCACAGCTGCCGTCTCCGTTTTTGCAGTCGCAGCTTTCTTTGCAGTCGGCTCCCCAGCGTCCTGCATCACAGGCTGCAACAAAGCATCTCAGATTCATCACAAGTCTTTACCTGTTTACCAATTGGCTCTGTGGGACCTTTACCTCTTCTGCAGTTGAGTCCAGTCCATCCAGGAGCGCAGCTACACCTTCCATTTACTGGATCACAGCGAGCATTGTTCTCACAGGAACATTTCATCTGACATCTCAGACCAAAACGTCCACTTGGGCACACTGCACAGGAAAGAATGTTATTTTAAACATTAAAATGAATCTGCTGTAATTACCTCCAGATGATTGGACATCCAGCACCAAGTTCCCATGACCGTCTCTGCAGAGAAAAGGTGGCTTAAGGAGCCAGCTCGTGGTTAATACCCAGTCAGGAAAACTTCTTCTTAGGTGGCTGAGGATTTTTAAACTAATGACCCTGAAGTAAAACCATCTCATCTGTCTTCCAGCTACTTCATTTCACATCCAAATGGCGCCATCATAAACTTCCACACCGCTGCCATCCCTCCCATCTGTTGGACTGTTTAATTTATGTTGCCATGGAAATCTTCCTAAAAATGCCCGCTGCTTTTACTCACAGTTTTGGCAGAGCCTTCCCATGTATCCAGGCGGGCAGTTACAGGACCCGTTGTGTTTATCACAAACGCCCCCATTCTCACAGGAAGGGCAGATTTCCTTGCAACCAGGACCCCAGAACCGCTCTGGACACACTGGAAAGGAATTAATTTTGTTGTTGGAAAACCGAGTCCTTGTGTTTCACACTTGCACATATGCATTCTGACTCACAGTTCTCACAGTGCTGCCCGTACGTCCCAGCTGGACAGTGGCATCGTCCCGTCTCTTTGTCACATGGTGCACCAGTGCAGTTACACAGTTGGACGCAGCCAGATCCAAACATTCCCTCTGGACACTCTGACACATAGGATAGACTTTCAATACGGGATGAGAAATAGACGTATCCCTGACATCATTATTTGCTGTAGTCTTTTACCTTGCTCACATTTCTCCCCATGACGGCCAGCGGGACATTTGCGTTGGCAGTCTCCGGTCACATGATCACAGGACGCTCCTGGTGGACAAACACACTTGTGCTCACAGCCGAATCCAAATGTTCCTGGTTTACATTCTATGGAGAAAATAGATCAATTATTTCACTTACTGAGTAAAATACTGTGTTGTGAGAATTGAAAGTCACTCTCCTCTCCTTTTCTAGATGTCTAGATGCTGTGGGATGGTGAAATGCGATTGGTTGATGAGCTAGTTGTATGTTAGCCGATGAGCAGGGATAACAGAAGTGACCTTTAAATGTAAAGGGTGTATTAATAATAAATATAAACAATGTTTGTTTAATTTTGTAAGAATAAGAGATTATAAAAAAAAAAAAAACCTAAGATTTTCTGCTTAAGATCTTTTGTCTGTTTTGCTTTTGTAACTTTTCTTCAACTCTTTATCCTTTCACTACTCCTCACTTGAAGTTGTCTAGGAATGAGAAGCTGGAGACCATTTTCCTACGGATACCATAAAGTGTCAAATATACAGAGATTCAGGGATTCAGAGTTAGATGTTCCCCACAGATGTTTAGATATAATCTAAACATCTTTTTAGATGTATTTAACATTTGCCTAATTTGTCCAAGAATAAAGAGACATGTGGGCCAAATCCTAACTGATAAAAACCCATTCTTACTTTTTTAATGCTCGAGGGTTGTCACAGTAGCTGATGGTTTATGTTGCCTAATGTTACTGACGATTGATTAAAGGTTTCTCACTGGGATTAAGAGCTGAAGAGTTTTCTGCTCATGGATCAAAACTCTTAAACCTGGTAAATATTTCACAAGAACAGACATTTATTCTTGTTCTCAAGACTAAATTATAGAAAGTCTCGTCCATTGCAGCTTACCTCCCATCTGCAAAGGAAAACAAAAGCAAACTATGGCAGAGGGGGCATTTTCGAATTAATAAAGGAAGAGGAGAGCATGTGAACACTTTACATGAACACTTTAGGACAGATTGAGGAAAGATCGTGCAAATTCTCACATTTTCTGACCACTGCTCCAGCCTCAAATCTTCCATAACATAACAGATCACTTCACTGATTTATGGAACTGAAATAATGGAGGAATTTCCAACCCCTAAACACAAGAGGGAAATAGGTTCTTCTTCTTAACAATACCTTAAGATCCTGACCAATCAGACAACTTGACACACTACAAGAAACATGTTTTGCCAAGACGTGTCTACAGTATAACAAGCAGTGAGAAATCCTAAGAGGGGAACAACATGGGCTGTGAGGGCAGGAAAAAACATCTTGCTTCTCGTGGAGCATCTAACATGCCTTAAGGTTTTGGTCCTTTAGCTACTACATTAGCTACTTTAGTCTCGCTACTAGCTGCTCTACTTCATAACATACCAACCTGCACTTTGATCTGTGTTCCCAGGTGCTATTGGACAATAATTTGATCGTGTCTGTTATTAATGTCAAATTGTAAGTAACTCGAAGTAGCCCTGTTTGAAACCTTAGTCAATCTAGACTGATTCTGAGGTTCAGTTTATTTCTATAGCACCAATTCAAAACACACATCATCTCAAGGCACTTTACAGTTCACCAGATCATAAAGTCAAATGATTTAAAGTTTTCTATCTAAGGAAACCCAGTTGATTGCATAGATTTGTTGACTCGAATGCAATCCCCCACACTAAGCATGCTTGTAGCGACAGTGGAGAGCAAAAACTCCCTTTTAACAAGAAGAAACCTCCAGCAGAACCAGGCTCAGTGTGAGCGGCCATCTGCCGAGGCCGACTGGGGTTCAAGGAGACAGAAGCAGAGATATAAAAAACAACTGTAAAAGGCGGCCCCATACAGGAAACAAACAGCCAGGCAGACCAGCTCCAAGCCAGCTCCCATGTCAGAGGATGAAGAGAGCACATCCAGCCAGTCACGGTCAGAGAAACAGGACTACACTGGAAAAACAGGCCAATCTCCAACATTTATAAACACAGCTGATATTTCTCTCCAGGATGGTGTCACAGAGGCTGCATCATGGAATCGTATTTGAATTGTCTCTGGGAGATATTCCTGGCATTTGCTGGACTTTCCTGTTCGCCCCTCAAAGCAAATTAACCTCCCAGCAGTTCTTTATGAATTAGGTGATATGGGTGCAATATGACCAGCATCAGTACTGTTGCTTGTGAAGGAAGCCTTTGTAATGACAATATTACTGTCTGCACCTTTATTGGAGGCAAATCCGGCAAAAAAAAAAAAAGTGTACAGAATTTATGCAAATCTCCATATTTTTAATCTCTGCAAAATTTCTCTAATGTGTATCTGCAAATCACTCCTGACTTATCTAGTAAAATAGAACAAAATAATGAAGGATATAGCACTAAATTGTATTTAGAGGAAGTTGCAATTTTCTTTTACAAACCAGTAGGTAGAGCTGCAATTCCTAAACTCTTCTACTTATTTGAAAGTGAATCTCCTCAGATGAAAGTTAAGAGATCTGAACCTTATCTACTAATTCACTGTACAGCTGTAATTTGAATGCACTCATGTAAACATATGAAATAAAGCCTTTACTGGTGCATAATTACACAGTTTATTTTAATTTAAGACACGAATTCCAAAAATAAATACATGATTTCAAACTGGTAATTAAAAGTTTTTTAAACTGCAGTTGTGTCAATGTCTATTTTTTAATGATAAGCAGGAAGATTTTGCCAAGATAACAAGTTTGTTTTTCTAGTATCGGTCTTTAATCATCTGTAGAGTATAAAATGTGAGATCCTTCACTGTTACCAAATCCATAATTTTTTATGCTATTATGAACAAAATAAAATGTAGAACTGTGGATGTTTCTCCTGAAGTCTTACCTTCCTTGCAGGTGCTTCCCCGGTAGCCGGGTTTACAGATGCAGGTGCCATGGTGGCGGTGACACTCCTTTGTGTTTTTCTGGTCACAGAGACACTCTTGAGAGCAGCCAGCACCAAATGTCCACTTGGGACACGCTGAGATGAGAAATTTAAAAAAAGGAATCTTAAGTGGACGATTTTGCGTCATTGAGCACAGAAAGATTACTTTTTAAAATCCACTCAAAGTATATGACTCATAAAATGAATATTCTAAAATAAGGGGTTAGAGGTTGGAATTTATGATGAAGACTAACAAAGGTGGCAGAAGCGGCCATAGAGTCCCGGTTCACACAGACAGGCTCCGTAGGTCCGGTGGCAGCGGCCGTTGTTGGCACAGTTGCACTTCTTATTGCACTGCTTTCCATAGAAACCTTTAGGGCAGCCTGGGGACGGATGATTACATCATATTATCAAATGCCAAAATGCAAAAGGCTTTTACATCTTTCCCCTTAAAACAACAAACCTCAAAATTCTGCAATATATATTTTCTTTATGACCATCACAATTATGAAATAACTATGATATAAGAGAAGCGATGCATGTTTTAAACAGTTTCCCATTATTATATTTAGGTTCTTTACTCCAATACAACTAAATAAAATACATTGCATCCAACAGTGATGTGCATGAACACATTCAATGAACAGCATTTGCTGAATACATTCATAATTTTATTGAACGTTGAACTGGACAGATCAGTTTTTAAAGTAACGACTGGGAACGGGACCGACTTTCCCTCTGAGAAATAATGAGCGACACACATGACACGTTCGCTTTCAATTAATAACAATACTTTTCATTTGGATAACATCAGGTTTTACGGCACTTATTACGGTAAACAGACCAGTATGTCTACTGTTAGTATTATACTGTATGCAAACTGTGCCCACCAGGACTTAAAAAACAAGTCCGTATGTCAGCCACGTTCACTTCACATTTAAAGTGACACATAGAGTTAAAGCATGCAAGTTATTGCTACTGAATGAGGAACATAAGGAATAATTTTTTATACAGATCTTTTCAGCAGAACCTGAATAAACCTGTATGTTTGTTAAGTTCAGTGTAATTGGCTAAATAAAACCTTCACTGTACATCCAGTAAAGCTTAACTGGATCAAATATTTTCCATTTCTTTCAATATATTGTGATCACACATTAAACGGGTGAAATATGAGGTTTTATTGTGTAGAATCGTGGCTTAATTGGCCAAATGGTACAAAATAGGTTTGTGAACTTAGTTGATTTTTGAAAATGTGAACTATAAACATAAGCTAGTTCATTTTTAACTGTGTGAACTGAACTAGCACAACATTCACCATTAATTGTCTTGTTTTTACCGCACTAGTGGCAGTAGGCTGACAGGAAAGGGGGTATGAGAGGGGGAGAGACATGCGGGAAAGGACCACAGGCCAGATTAGAACCTGGGTCACCCACATCAAGGACTAAGACCTCCATACATGGGTCGTGTGCGCTAACCACTGTGGAACCAAAGCACGTCACTCAATTAGTAAACACTCCAGTTGTGTGTAAAGCAAAATCAGTATTAGGAAAGCCTCTCTGAGAGGGCTGTTTGCCAGCCAATCTTAGTGTAAAAACAGCTAAAGACCAAGAGTTTGTTTAAAGAACAATAATCTGAGCTTTAAACATCTCACAGAGTACTTTTAATCCATTATCTGAAAATAGAGTGGCAAAACTGTAGAGAATTAATAAAAGGAGCCCCTAAAAGGCCCATGGTAAGTCTGGAGGAGCTACAGAGATTCATAGCTCTGGTTGGAGAACCTGCTGAAAGGCAGGGTAATACTAGAAAGACATTTCCAAAAGAAAACAGTTCCTGTGGAATATTTTCAAGAAAGAAAGTCGTGGTAAACAAGAACCACTTTGAAAGAGATGTTTTTAGAAAAAAAAACATGTGCATGGTGTCACAGGCATCCTCCTAAAATACTTTCGGCAGTAAATGCTGATTCTACAAAATGTTGGCTTAAGAGGTCTGAAAACAAATGCAGCCCACAATTTTTATATTTTTATTGGATATAAACCTATTTTTTCCCTTTTTTAACTTCCTTTTACATTGTGTTAGTCTATTGTTTAAAATCCAAATGCAACATATTGAATTTTGTGGCTGTTAAGTGTCACAATGACAAAGACAACAAGTGCAATAATGCTGCTGCACGACACCATCTTCAGAACAATTTTTAAAAATATATTTTGGCACTTTTAAATGGAAAATAAATGGTTAAAAAAAAAGAAGTTTCTCACCATCCTGACACAAATCTCCGCTCACTCCAGGAGGACAGCGGCAGCTTCCGCTGACTGGATCACAGCTGGCACCGTTTTTGCATTTACAGGCAAAGGAGCAGTTTTTTCCAAGATACCCCACAGGACAGGCTGTAACATTGACATTGTTTAAAAGTGAAATAATTCATTGTAATCTCAGCAGCATACAGATGTTTAATCAGCCCTCACTCTGATTGCAGATGATTCCCGTCCATCCGTCTGGACAATCGCAACCGTTTTTCCACAAATTGCATATTCCTCCATTAGTGCAGTCGTCACAAGTCAGACTGCAGTCGCTGCCGAAGGTGTCATCCAGACACACTGAAAACGACAGGATAATGACAGACAGCTGCAATCACAGTCTGTTGAACAGACCCATCATTCTAAATCTGCTTCTTTTGAACTTTTTCCAAGATTAAACTATATAAATATAAAAGTTATGAAGTTTGTTTCAAAACTTTTATACCAACCCAACATAACATTAAATTACCACGAACCCCACTAAGTCTGTAACAGTATATTAGAAATTTAACAAAATCAAACATTACTGGTTGATGTCTGTTGTTTTTAGCTTCTGTTTCATTGATATCAGAACTGTCTCTCATGGGCTTCCTGTTCTAATCTTCTGCTGTCTGTTAAGCCAAAGTGTTTCTGTCTTTAAAACTGGTTCCCTGCTATAAATGAATTGCCTGGAAGCACAAACTGAGGTTATTAACCCTCCCCATGTGGTCTTCGTCTAAATGAGTGTGAATGCTGAGGTCTGGTAATCAAATGCAGGTTTCCTGTTAATGATAACGAGTTAATAATGATAGGGAGGAAAACTCACCAAATTTCTCTGCTAAGCTGCTTTCAGCCCTCAGTTCTCCATCGTCATCTTCATAGTCGTCGTAGCGCTCCAGGGGTTGATCGTAATCCCGGAGTAAGGTGAGCTGGGGGGGAATGAGGGGGAGCTCGATGGCGCCTCCACTGGAGAGGGCTTCAACTGCACCTTCAAGAGCTGTGGAGGGGGAAAAAAAGGCACAAAAAAGGATAAAGTTATGGGAAAAGTATTAGACCATTGTCTTTTTAAACAAAAAAGAATGGTCAAAATTAAATGCCAACTCCTGTGTGCTTCATGTGACAAAAAAAAACTAAAATATGAAGAACAACCGTAATGCCAAAGCTATCAATTGGATTATGGTTGTCATTAAGAAAGACTTGGAAACATAAACTTTCATTAGCTGTTTTTTCTTATCTTATTTGTCCAAACAATCTTGAAAACTGAAAGTTGTAGGTGCCATTCAAGCGTCCTCCTGGGTCACGCCAAAATGCCCACAATGTGTGCAGCTTTGTGCGACCATGTGCTTCGAGTGGTCAGTATGATTTAAAAAGCCTGATATAGATGTAGTTCATTTAAAGCTGAAGTCTGTAAGTTTTTAAAAATCACTTTTTTGTCATATTGGCTAAAACTGTCCCTATGCCCAGATAGCAGTACATGTGATATGTAACCTGTGAAAAAAACTGCTTCAATTGGTCCTGCATACTGCCTGTATTTCAATCTGGAAAGAATAATTCGGGACGAGTCAAAACAACCAATCACAGCCAGAGGAGCGTCTGATGGAGTGTCAATCACAGCTCACACACGCTGAATCCACCCCCACCCCCCCACCCCCGCCCCCCAATGCGGTAGCCGTGCAGATGCTGTGAGAGGGGTGGAGCTTGGAGGTGGGGCATGACTGAAGCAGAGAGGGGGGGGGAGTTACGTGAAACCTGTTTTTCTTCAAATTTTAAGTAGAAGTCTGCTCTCTCCTCAATGTTACAGACTGCAGCTTAAACAATTGGCACCAAGAATGGCTTCTTTTTTGCAAAATTTCCTGATATTACCGCCGCATCATAAAAAAATAAAAAAAAACAAGAAAGTTAGTATTACGCTGGGATTATGGCCACCTGAATGTCACTGGGCTTGTTTCCATCCAAAGGAGAATTTTCAGAACTCTTTTAAAGAGTTGGGAAAAAATGCTAATGTGTTTCCATCTAATAGAGCAAAGAGGAGATGCAAAGCGTAATGTCGTCATACATTGAAGTTATGCTTGGCAGTAGTAAACGGGATATAGCGTTAGCAAACTAGTGCAGACCACAGATGGATCAAGGTATTGATAAATGAGTTAGAATTTGGCAAGTTTCACCTACAGTACTTCATCATGTCAGCTAGTATTAGTGAAGGTTCATTCCATCCAGAGACATCAAGATAGAAATGTGACTCTGCATTCAGGATGCCAGCAGTGACAGAAACAGCTGATCAGTCCTGTGAGGTAAATATCTGCTGTCCGAACTTATTCCAAAAATTTGTGTGCTTAAAAACTTTTGCAAAATTTTATAATCTTATTTATTTTTGCTGATTCCATCAGGCTCTTCTAAAGTGATACATCATAATGCACAAAAAAAAATCCATAGACTTTTTCAACTGTCTAGTTGTTTCATCTATGTGCTGTGAGGTTTTTTAATCTAGTTGAGAAAGAAGAAACTTTATTATCTGTAGCACAAAAAAGCAACCCTAAATTCTGTATTACTGTCTTAAATTACACCTTTTTACTTCAACTTGAGTATCATTGTACAATAATGCAAAATCTGGGGCTACTTAACTATTTCTTCTCGTAAGTTTGGTTAAATAATGTTTTTTTTTTTCTCTCGACAGAGAAATCCAGAAACAGCTTTTAAAGATTTATCTCAATTCAAAACTAGATGTCAAAGAAAACATTGGTCAGGACTCCAAAAGCACCAGGAGTATAACAATTTGTTCAGATATCTTCTATTGTGGAACTTGGTTTTAACTGTTATATACAACCACCCTTGCATCAAACCCAGCAACAGCATTGATTGCTTCATGCTCTGATCATCAGAACTGACAAATTAAGCAGAGTCGTTACTGCAGCCAGGTTCTGTTTCATCATCCAGTTAAAGGTAGGAAGAATATTAAGGAAGGTTTGAAAAAATATATATATATATATATATATATATATATATATATATATATATATATATATATATATATATATATATATATATATATATATATATATATATATAAAAACAACAATAACAAGGGGAACCCGCTCATTTGCTCACTTGTATACCTTTCTCTTTGACCATCCCATTGATAGCCAAAATAACAGGTGACAGTTGGCTATATATATTTTCTTTTACATTTTGCCATTAATTGTAGCCAGACCTGAAAATCATTGTTTACAGAAGCTCTCCATCCAATCTAAATTAGCTTGAACTTGTTTGCCTCTGTTTCTTCTCTAACTTACAGTCTGGACACAATCACAAACACTTGACAAGCTGCTTCTACAAAGTATTTAAAAATGTGATAATTAGGCGCTCCCCAGACTTCTCAATGTCTGTTTGTAAAAATGTCAGTTTTCAGAAAACCAGAAAAGGACAAAATCTCAGTCTTAATGAGTTGATTTGCATTCTGAATTTCAGAGAGAAAGGGGAGAAATAAACAGATGTTAATGTGGAAAGCATAGGTTACAGATACCACTCTACTCCATCTTTGTTTTAAGTTTATTACACAGAAAATGTAATGACTTAACAAGACCTAGTTAAGGTTTCTTTACTAGCAGGTCATGGTTAGCTGGACATGAATTAATTCAGGTTTAAACGGTGAGAACCGAACTTGGAACAAGTTTTTATTAATGGTGAACTTGCACAATAATGAGGCACTCACGGATGCAGGAGCGTCTGTCCTCGTCCAGACGGAAACCCCGATCACAGAAGCAGGTAAAGGAGCCGGCAGTGTTATGGCACGTGTGTTCACAGCCACCATTCACAGCCAGACATTCATCTACATCTGAACAAAACAGACACAACACAACTGTTAGCAGCTCTTACTACTTCATAAGGTGATTTTAGAAATTTAACAAACACTGTGAGCAACAAACTTATAGATCCTTAAAGAAATTAGGAGTTTCAGCCATCCTTTAACTGGCTGTTAAACATACCATCACAGCTACATCCATCAGCGCCGAGTCTATATCCTGCTGAGCAGTAGCATTCATAACCTCCGGGGTAGTTGGTGCAGTCTTGCTCACAACAGGAGCTCCGTTCTCCACACTCGTCAACATCTGCCAAACAAAACCAGCGCGAAGACAAAAACCAAGAGGCAAGTTAGCGATATGCTCCACTGCTTGCTGACAGAAAGTATAAAGTGTTTTGATTTAACAACCAATAACAGACATGTTAAAACAGAAGAAAAAAAAATCTAGCACTGATGCTCCGCTTTTTCCACTTCAAACTTTGGCCTTTTTTGGCCCCGTCCTATATTTTAACTTGAGCTCTATAAATCCTTAAAGGGCTAGAAGATTTTATTAGTACATTAAACCAAAGAATGAATGCACTTTATGGCACTCTCTCTCTGCTTTTATGTGCATTTGGCTAAATAAAAATGATAACTGACTAATAAAATGTCATAACCCCATTTTTGTGAACTTGTGAATTTTATTCTATTCATATGTTTGACTAATATTTGTAAATCAGTGTGGACAGCATTTATCCAGTCCAGAACAAGACTCTTAAATTAAAAATGACTCTATAGTTCAGTTTTTACTAAAATTAATTTAGAAAGATGGAGGGTTGAAGATGAGTTTTAAGTCTGTCCTTAGACAGGATCATTCCAATATACAAATACTCTTTAAACTAGAGGTAATAAACCCTGGTCCTCAGGACTGATTTTGTGCGCCTGCTCCAGCACATCTGAATCAAATAACTGCATTCCCTTCCACAAGCTATAAAGGGATGCAGGAGAGGCCTTTCAAGCCCTCGCTTATCCAAGTCATGTTTGCAGAGGCGGTGAAATACCTTCAACATGCAGGACACAAGGTCATTTGGACCAGGGTTAAAGACCTGTATGCTTAGGATCATTGTTAGTCTGTGAACGTTCTTGAGTCTTAAAGGGGAACGCTGTATTTTTTTTACATCTGCAGTTACATTTCTTATATTTATATTTTTTTAAAACAAAGCAGAGTGAGTATGACGTCATCCGCGTGCGCCGGCTTCTATTCTTTCGTTCTATCCGCTGAACTGCTGCTAGTTTTACTCACATGCCTGAAAGAAGTCTAGTGCTACTACTACAGATGATCTCGCTCTCGAAGTAGAATTGAACGATTCAGATTAGCTAGCCGAATGAATAGAAGGGGTAGAACCTAGCGGCCCGTGGCCCGGGCTTCCTGTCACAACTCCAGTATGGCGTGCTGATGACGTCATACACACTCCGCTTTGTTTTTAAAACATTCAAATATAAAAAAATATAACAGACCAGCTTATTTACAAGTTTCCTTGTCAGAACTATGGGGGCTTTGAGGAGCATTGAAGAGGAGATTTGGAAATGTAATGGTTTGTGTTCTGAGTAGTTACTGAAGACAGTAACTCAGTATTTGGTTAAATAAAGTCATAAAAAAGAATGTAAAGATGTCTGAACATTTCAATAGCTGGGATTTCCTTTAGTGACCTGCTCCTCTTAACAACTTGATCCTACTGTGTCTCTTACTCTTTATCTTGCCGTTGGTTCACCAATGTTCTCTAACAAACCTATAAGGTCTTCACAGTACAACTGGATTCAAACAGAGAATAAAATATACCCTCAATACTGCATTAAGTACAGAGCTTGGCTGAACTAAAGATTTTTAGTCGAAAAACAGAACTGAACAATGTATTCTTTTAACTTCACTAATCTGAAATAGTTTGGGTTCGCAACTTCATAAAATCCGAGGTAAATAAATTGGAGTTTTTGATTGTAATGTTTGAAGCTTTAGATTTTGTGCTACCGTACTTTTCCAAGGTAGTGTAGGAGAAAAACAATGGTGTATTCAGGTCATGCTTCATTTTGGGTCTTTCCTTACTGATATTTGTTTAAGCTTACACCATCAACTCTCACCTGCTCTTTCAGTATGACAAAAGAATAAAAAATGTAGGGACTTTATACCAACAATAACTTTACATTAATATTCTTAATTTTCCATAGCAGGTAATACTGCAATTACAGCAAAATCCTAAAGCTACAGACATCGGAGCTGATCTTCAAAGAAACCAAAAGAGAAAGAGGGCTAAAAAAGTCAGAGGGTAAATTGCATGGGGCAATATAAACAGCGTGTGCAGATAGAGGGTGTGTTGAGGACAATCTACAAAGACTGATTGCACAAAGAATAAGATATGCAAACAGGTTTGGGAGCACTGGCATTTTGAGTGAAGCTGAAAAAGATGGATGAAGATAGATTAAATTCTACCGCAATTCTACCTTGGAGTTGGAGGTGGAATGATATATATATATATATATATATATATATATATATATATATATATATATATATATATATATATATATATATATATATATATATATATATATGTAATAACAATTTATATAGTTTATAGTGCATCTGAAAAGAGATACAAACAAAACTAAATAAATAATAAAACAGAAACAAATAGAGGAGAATTTCAAAAGTTAAATTGAAAAGATTATACATCAGTCATAAAACCTGGAAAAGCTTTGTCTGCTCCATACTGATCGCCACTCTGACAGAGACGGGGCAAATGTCAGACTCCCAGCGAGATTATGCTCTAAACTGCTGGATTAACTCCACAAAAGTCTCCCTTCCCCAAAAATATTGCAAAGACTGTAAAATGTTAGTAAAACAGTTTTTCTCACTCAGCTCATCAAGGAAAACAGAGAAAGAAAAATAAGTCTCTTTAAACACAATTTAAGGATGGATCCTTTAAGCCCAATTACAGGCTATGTGACGGATGTCCCTTTGTAGCTGTTCCATTTTGCAGTGACTGCAAGTGTTTCAAAGTTAGTCTTTGAGATAAAAATTCCTTTTCTTTACTTTTTTCTTGACTAAAAAAGGTTTAAGTGATAAAACAATAGAAAACAAGTTAAATGATTAAGATCAAATAAATTAAATAAATTAAAAATAATTAATTTTATACTGCAGATTTAAAGGCTTGCAATGGGTGAATGGTTATGCAATGTCTAACTACAGCTATCCAGATGTTTTGCATCAGTCTGAGTGTGTTTTAGCCTCTTACCAACACAGGTTTTCAGGTCCTCATCAAGACGGTAGCCATGGTTACAGGTGCATACAGGTCCACCGGTGGAATGCTGGCAGTGATGAGAGCATCCACCATTGCTGTTCTCACAGCTGTTCACAATCTCCATCTCAATCCCTAAAAAGTCAGAATGAGATCAGGAGATGTGCCAGGATAAACAGTACATCTCCATGAGTTCTATCATCCAAGTAAAGGTTTAAAATGTTTTGTAATACTTAGACTGACTGTAACACTGTTTGCCATCAGATCCCAGCTCATAGGCAGCATTGCAAACACAAGCATAGGAGCCCAAAGTGTTGCGGCAGCCATGAGAACAGTTGGTCTCCTCTGTTTTACACTCGTCAATATCTGAGGGAGGATGTATTGAAACATTATGAACTCCAAGAAGAAACACGTGTTGCCCACACAAGTTCAAATGCATTTTGAATGTTTCTCATAAATCAAAACCTTCTCATAGTAAAATCCTGAAATCTATATAACCTTTACACTCTCAGCTGATCCGAGCCAGAGACTGGCTGCTTGAGACAAGTTTATGATTTTTGTGTTAAAACACACATTTTGTTTCTTACTTTTTTAAGATTATAAATTCACATTTTGTTGTCTTTGAAATTTTTAAAATGGACAGAGAGGAGGTTTATATCTTTTTTTACTTGGTTCAGATTGAAGGAACATCTACTCCATGCTTCATATGTAACTCATTAAGCATATTTTAAACTACCTTCACAGGTTTTGCCATCTTCCGCCAGCAGATAGCCAAGTTTACAGTCACAGAAAGCCTTTCCTCCATCAACTCGACACTCATGCATACAGCCTCCATTCTGGGTTGCACAAGGATTCTGCACTGTAACACCAAAAGCATGTAGTCATCACTCTACAGTAATATATTGTTCATTCTTCGCAGCAGAAATCTGTCAAATACGGCTGCTCTAAATTTACATTCAAACTATTTTTATACATACTTTTACACATTGTCTGCAAATTTAACTTGTGAGAGCCTGTCTGGCATGTGTGATGAGAACTTTCTGCTCTGCAGAAATTAGAGGAAGCTGCTCGGACTCAACAATTACAAAGTAAAAGCATTGGAAAGACAGTGCTTGAGAAGAACGCAATTCAAGTATATTATATCATAGAAAAAAACTTTACTTGACTGTGTAGCTTTAGAATATGAGGAGATTAAAGCAAGCAACAGACATAAAAACACTAATTATGTAGGAAAAAAAAGTGCGTAACTAGATACAACTTGACACCTTATCCCAAGATATCCCCAGCAGAAGGAGTCAAAGTCTGGTAAGAGTTTACCTATTTGTACCCCTGTGTGTATGTGATATGTAATATATATGTTTAAAGAATGTTAAAAAACTTTAAAAGCATTGGTCACTTACATATACAATGTTTTCCATCCTCTGCCAGTATGTAATTTGGCTTGCAGCGGCAGCGGAAATGAGAGGCTGACCGCTGCAGACAGTAGTGCTCACATCCTCCATTGCGGACAGCACATGTATGCACAGCTGAAGACCCAAATGTAAATAAAAAAGCAAAGAGAGTTAGAGATAAATCACTTAATATTGAATTCAAATATTTATTGCGTCGACATATTAAAACCGCAAGCTCAATAATCCTTCTTAAAATACCTCATCACCATGAAAGGCTAAAACTTAGAGATACTTGAGTGACAGGCATCCACATCCACTGATGAGGTACAGTTCAGTCTGATTCAAGGTCTCATCAGCCTACATTTGTCTTCTTTGAAGCTGCAGATGGGAATTTTTAGGGAAAATAACAGGTAGAAAGACTCAAAGGCTGCATTATTCATACTGGGAGACTGGAATCAAGATCCATCTGTCTTGAGTGTGTGTCAAACCACAGAGCGCTCTCCAGCTCAAATATTATGCAGCTACACGCTGTGTGTGTGTGGAATATATCTCAAGTTCTCAGGGCAGATGAGGAGCTAGAGAACACATCCAGAGTTTAAAGAGTTGATGTGAGGACAGCTGAGTTTGGACTGATCTATATTTTCACAGCTTTTATAACAAAAAACTATTTTCTCTAACTGGCATCATACATGGGCTCTGCTTAAAGTACCGTATGTCCACCAGCACAGTGTTATAATTTTTGTAATCACTTATCTTTTCATGATACAGCTTGGTAATTAAATGTTGTATCCTTCTACATGGCGGATCTCTCCAGGTACTCTTGCCCATAGTGAGGTTCTTTTTATTTTTTGCTTCAGTCAATAAATAACTAGCCTATATTCTTCTAAAAAAATGTTCTGTTTAAGAGAAGAATTCATGGTTCCATCAGTTACAGACGTTGGTCTTGCTGGTCCTGGATCAGTAAAGCAGCCCCAGAACATTACACTACCACCATCATGTTCATCATATAAAAGGATGGGTTATTTTTCTTTAACAGGATTCCCATCCTCCAAACACTTACATTTATGGCTATTTATTTTAAAGTTTCTAGGATAAATACGACATTTGGCGGTACCATACCTTCTACTAGCATATAGTTATCTGACATTATAATCGCATTTGATCTGAAACATTTAGGGTAAAACAAATAAAGGAAAGAAAAAAAGGAAGAAAAGTGCATTCATACCACATTAGACTTAATTTCACTCCATCTAGAATTGTACTTTTTATTCAATATTTGTATTTGTTACTATCAGCAATTTTGATCAATTTGAACATGAGCAGCCATGGTGGTTCCATATCCACCCATATTTTGATTAATTCCATATGTAGAAAGCAGTGGAGGTCACATGGTTGCTTTTTTTACTCACTGAGGCAGGTGCGTCCGTCCACATGGAGCCTCGAGCCGGGATGGCATTCACAATAGTACGAGCCCCTGGTGTTAATACATCTGTGCTGACAGCCTCCATTATGGACCTGGCATTCGTCTATATCTGAAAAGAACCAGACAGTAAAAACAGATTTGCAAATGGCCTAAAGCCTCTCATTAAACTGAAAGAAATCCCAAATGAACTGCAAAGTTGTGAGAGTATTTTAATTAGTCAGGCTTTAAGACAAAGATCCACCTCTAGCTGAGAGGAGACGATGGATGAGAATAGGGGCCAAACTCTCCCTCCCATGTGGCAACAACTACTGAACATTTAAAAGCACATTTAAATTCCTGCAGCTCATCGGAAACCTCCAAGTGAACAAGCATATGGAAACTTGAACCAGAGGATGCAAATCCAAACATTCCTTCAGACCAAGTGTGTTGGGGGTAAACAAACAGAAGAAGCAGACTCTGCATCTGAGAACATTATGGTGTGTGAAACATAACGCTCTAAGCATGGGAACTGATTCCTGATAAAACAAACTATGTATTTGGACAGCACCTATTTCAAGGGTCAAAGACTAATACATTTGTGAGAAGACCCCCTGTGAGATCTGAGCAACTTCATGAAGCCTAACTCCATTTTTACTTATTATCTTAGAATAATCAGGAGCCTAAACAGTTTCATATAGAGGATATAATGAAAATATTATAGACTGCAACATGTGATGTGTATAAAAAGAAAGGAAATCTGTCTGGCTGCAAGTGAGACCTGTAAAATAGGCCAACACCTTATAAAACACAGTTAAAGTACAAGAATATGAGGTGTGCTGTTCAGAACAATGTTGACTTCACGCAGCTTTTTTTGAGCAGAAAACTATTTAAAGAAGTTACTGAAACCAGTATGACCACAGTGACCGTGTAAATTTGAAATACAGGCTGACAGCTGTCACTACAGCTGTGATATAACGTTTTAATCAGCAGAAATATAGACCAGATGCTTTACCGCAAACCCCACATCTTACTCCAAAATGACAGAGAACAGTGTAACTCAAACAAAACAGTATATATAACGTTCACCCAACCAGTCGAAACACAAAATCCCCAATGACAGATTTCATGCACAAAATTACATGACATCACTTGTTGGAGTGGGTTTCTGTGAATAGGGTGTTTGTGGTAAATACCTAACTTTCAGAAGACTATGGCTACATCTCTAGGAAGTCTAATAAGTTATCTGGACAGAAAAAAGTTTTCCTGCAAAAAAGATCTGAAAATAGCTGTAATGGGCGCTGTACAGTAATACTTATGCCAGACGAGTGGATGATGCACTAATGTTGACATTCAGGTAAAGAATGTAGAAGGCAGAAGGAGGATGTAAACAGTAAATGAACAGTCACTTCCTGAGCAATACTAGAAGGATTATCTGTACCATCAGTTTATTAACACATGTGCAACCAGAATATCTATTGCGTTTTAGGAAAAAAGACCAAATTAACTTTTTTCTCTCCCTATTTATAACAAGCGTACTAAAGTAGAATTCGTGAAAGGATAGAAATTACTTGTCTGAGAAAATAAATGCGTTTAATATCACGCCACTGTACCCGATCTGTCCCGGAAATGGGATCCTATCTTACTTCAGGCAGCTCATTTTTTAGGCTTTCAATTTGTATATAATTTTAGTTAAGTTTGTTTTTTTTTGACTCTTTTAACTTTGTTGGTAGGCTTTTACATTTGCCTTGTGCTGTACTTTTAAAGTATATAGTGCATAATCTATATATGACACATAATATGACATTTTAATAGCTCCTGTAGGTTGCATACAAAGTTTTTCTGAAAAATTAGTGTCCCGTGTCTATTATTATTTGTTGCTATTTATATTTTACATGTTGTTTGGCTCAATTTGTTAGTAAGATTCACACAAAGGCCTTTGTGTACATCTACAATAACAACACTAATACCAAAGGTACGATAATGTGCATGTGCAACAGGGGGTAAACAAGGAAGTACTGGGGAAGACTAAGATGGCACCTCCCATCGGATTTGCGAAAACAATGTAAAAAAAACTAAACAAGATCTATTTTGAAAATGCAAAGAAAGGTTTGATTCCAAGACAGAGAAGACTCAAATAGCATTAGGAATACAGTATGAACACTGGTGTTCACTGAGGTGGGAGCTAAAGCTGTGGATACGTTCAGATGTCATTGCAGAGTTGATTGATGTGAAAGCAAATGACCACATTAATGCTAATAGTAGCGATAGCAATGCTACTGTTATCAAGTGGGAATGCTTATGCATTCCCACTTATTGTTGTTCACTTAAAATTTTTCTGACTCTAACTAGTCCCGCAGTTTTCAACCGATTTCAACAATTTTGGTATCAAAACGTTCAGCTTGTTCAGCAGAATTGTGCTATGTCTTTTGGTAAAGATATTTTTTGTAGTTTTCGCGATATTCTGCTTTTTCTGCATTTTTTTGTCCCATTGAAATGCATGTAGAATTCTTAGATTTCAGCAAAATTCAGATAAAACTTTATCATCTTCGACCTTTAACTACTTCAGCATACTTTCAGCTAGAAACACCATTCAACTTTTAAAATGTTTCCGTATCTTTCTGCTATTACTGTTTAACTCTGCTTTTTGCTAACTTTTACAGTTTTGCTTCAGTGAAGCTTCAAACTTTAAAAGAAAATTTTAAGATTTTCAGATTTATAATGGAAGTCTATGGACGGAATTCTTCAACTGCTAGAGTGCGTGCTCTAGCTTTTGAGCTGTTCTGGTTTTTCCGAACAAATTGTTGTCAGTCCCTCATTTTTAACTCAATTGAAATAAATTATACATCAAAACGTAGGGATTTTTATCAGGATTCAGGAAATATAACCCTAATTTGTGTGGCATTTACGGTTTTCTGACAGTTTGGCCCAGACCATGAAGAAGTCCACACTTCCCCAATAGAAATCCAATGAGAGATTTTCCAAAAATCACAGACAAAATCCAAAAAGATACATATTTTCGTATCGCTCCCATTTATTAACTATTTGATGTACTAACATGAAACTTAGTATACAACATCTTCAGAACCTTCTAGCACTCACATTGAAGGAATTTCTTCAATATCATTTATGGTTTAGCTGTTTAGCTGACTTGTTCGGGCATAGGAAAACGCTGATTCTGAGAAAAATCCTCAAACTCAGAAAATGCAATTTTTTACATCGTCACCGTGGCCAAATAATTTTTAGTAGAAACATGAAAGTTGGCACAGTCGAAGCCGAAGGATGGCTGACGCCAACGGTGAAAGAATTTTTTGAATACCTTTTACGGTTTTGGCTCACCGCTCGTTTGTTCGCAGGGGAAGTTTTACTTTTGGGAGTTCTGTTCTACCATGGAACTCCATGTTATTTCATGAGACCAGCAGGATTTACAAACCTTTTTATTTCTCCTTCCCATTAAGGTTGTGAATGAGCTACAGCCATGAACATTATCCCAATTGGAGACAAAGGATAGCTGTCGCTTATACTGAAATAATTTTTGAGATACCATTTACAGTTTGTCTTCAGCACACGTTTGTTCAGAGCTGATATTGCCATTCAAAAAAGCCTGAGAGGAAAGGAACGAAAGTGACCCGCTTTTCTCTCTTTCACTGACAGGCTCGTTAACGTCGTCAAGGTAACCGAGCTTCAAAGGGATTTTACCTCTGCCACTTTAAACAGCACATTTTAATCTAATGGAGGGAGACAACACTGATTTAACATTTGGAAATGGATACAATATGACTACTGGCCATGACCCTTCCCTTCACACGCAACCCTGATAGACTTTCAAAATAAGACGCCAGGGACCCTACAAAATAAAAGCCCCTACATTAAACTCATATTTTTTTCCCAGCATATGGCTAAACATTATAACCCAAACTCAACCACTTTTTAAAAATTAGACTCTAGGGGGCTTTTCAAAACACACCCCACAGCAAATTTCAAAATAAAAGCCTCCCACTGCCACTTCATCTACTGCCCTAATAACAGGGGAAAAGAGTGATTTAACGATTGGAAAGTCATCAAGTATCATTGCTGGGTCTGACCCTTTTCTCAACACACAACCCTGCTAGACTTTCAAAATAAGACTCCAGTGACCCTACAAAATAAAAGCCTCTATGTTATACTCGTGCATTAATTGATTCAAATGGCTCAGCATTATGACCCAAACTCTACCAGCTTGATTCTATTAGACTCTAGGGACCTTTTCACAACATACCCCAGATCGAATTTCACAATAAAAGTCTCCCATTTATGCTCTAATACATTATCTATTCACCCAATAACATGGAAAACCAGTGATTTCATATTTAGAAATGGATTCTATATCACTGCTGGGCATGACCATTCCTTTGAAACACATCCATGATAGACTTTCAAAATAAGACTAAAGGGACTCTACAAAATAAAAGCCTCTTCCTTACGCACACTTATTCATTGTGCCGTATGCCTTGTAGCTATGACCCAAAGTCAACCAATTTCTTCAAATTACACTACCAAGGCCTGTTGACTACACACCTCAGTTTACATTTCTTAATAAGGCTCTAAGATTTACACTGTAATAAAGCATCTGCTAACCTCGTAACATGCAGCCTAAGCCTGCCAACGGTGCTTTCATCACCACAGTGGCTCGTATCATGCAGGTTAGTTTTTTTTTATAAATTCAGCTCCTTAAGTGGTATTAGCTCTCTTTCTATAAGCTTCTCTCTCTGTCCTTTCTCTGCTTCTCATGGTTAGTCTTGCACTTAGGTTTGTAGATTTTCAATCCTCAAATGATGACACTGTTTTCTTTATGCTGATCAACCGACACATTTTAAATAATTTCAAATTGTTTTGCCAAGTCTTGACATTTCCACATATGATTTCAAAATTTTGATCAGCTAATTTCATACTTTTCAGCCTATGCTGTGAACTTTGGCTTCATTCTGCTCTCTTTCTGGACAGTAATTAAGCTTTTCTGTTTGCTGCTAATTCATAACACGTCTGACATGTTTCTGGGCAGTAGGTAAACCCCCCTCCAAAATTTCTTTATACATTTTTCTAGAAACTTGGGAGACATTATATTCAGACCCTTCTACTGCACACACTAAAGAC